ACAATGTAGTTATATACCAAGGTAAAGTATCGGTATTACAATGTAGTTATATACCAAGGTAAACTCTCTGTATTACAATGTAGTTATATACCAAGGTAAACTCTCTGTATTACAATGTAGTTATATACCAAGGTAAACTCTCTGTATTACAATGTAGTTTTATACCAAGGTAAACTCTCTGTATTACAATGAAGTTTTATACCAAGGTAAACTCTCTGTATTACAATGTAGTTATATACCAAGGTAAACTCTCTGTATTACAAGGTAAACTCTCTGTAGTTTTATACCAAGGTAAACTCTCTGTATTACAATGTAGTTTTATACCAAGGTAAACTCTCTGTATTACAATGTAGTTATATACCAAGGTAAACTCTCTGTATCACAATGTAGTTATATACCAAGGTAAACTCTCTGTATTACAATGTAGTTTTATACCAAGGTAAACTCTCTGTATTACAATGTAGTTATATACCAAGGTAAACTCTCTGTATTACAATGTAGTTATATACCAAGGTAAACTCTCTGTATTACAATGTAGTTATATACCAAGGTAAACTCTCTGTATTACAATGTAGTTATATACCAAGGTAAACTCTCTGTATTACAATGTAGTTATATACCAAGGTAAACTCTCTGTATTACTGTAGTTATATACCAAGGTAAACTCTCTGTATTACAATGTAGTTTTATACCAAGGTAAACTCTCTGTATTACAATGTAGTTATATACCAAGGTAAACTCTCTATGTATTACAATGTAGTTATATACCAAGGTAAACTCTCTATGTATTACAATGTAGTTATATACCAAGGTAAACTCTCTGTATTACAATGTAGTTATATACCAAGGTAAACTCTCTGTATTACAATGTAGTTTTATACCAAGGTAAACTCTCTGTATTACAATGTAGTTATATACCAAGGTAAACTCTCTGTATTACAATGTAGTTATATACCAAGGTAAACTCTCTGTATTACAATGTAGTTATATACCAAGGTAAACTCTCTGTATTACAATGTAGTTATATACCAAGGTAAACTCTCTGTATTACAATGTAGTTATATACCAAGGTAAACACTCTGTATTACAATGTAGTTATATACCAAGGTAAACTCTCTGTATTACAATGTAGTTATATACCAAGGTAAACTCTCTGTATTACAATGTAGTTATATACCAAGGTAAACTCTCTGTATTACAATGTAGTTATATACCAAGGTAAACTCTCTGTATTACAATGTAGTTATATACCAAGGTAAACTCTCTGTATTACAATGTAGTTATATACCAAGGTAAACTCTCTGTGTATTACAATGTAGTTATATACCAAGGTAAACTCTCTTATGTATTACCAAGGTACAATGTAGTTATATACCAAGGTAAACTCTCTATGTATTACAATGTAGTTATATACCAAGGTAAACTCTCTATGTATTACAATGTAGTTATATACCAAGGTAAACTCTTTATGTATTACAATGTAGTTATATACCAAGGTAAACTCTCTAATTATATACCAAGGTAAATTCTCTCTGTATTAAAATGTAGTTATATATACCAAGGTAAACTCTCTGTATTACATTGTAGTTATATACCAAGGTAAACTCTCTGTATTACAATGAATACTAATTCACATCGTATTTCATAGTTGTATAATTCTCTCCAAAAAGATATTTTTATGAATATAACACATATCTCAACAGTAAACAAGTTTACTTTCACGCATATTTAGTTTTCTGATCGTGTCTGGTCTGTTCTGTGTTATATGGTCCTTTCCTTCCTTTTCATCACTGCATTGCCTACGTAGCTGTAAGATAAAAATCCTTAATAAGTAAAATTGGAGCACCAATCATATTTTTTATGTTAGTATATGTATCGTACTGTTTAAATGAAAAATTGGCTTTGGGCAGCTCAAGTATAAAAGGTACATTCATAGTTCGCACAAATATCTCATTAGATGTCTTTTTAAGCTTCCTGAAACTTGGAGGTTACATGAGATAGTTAGACCAGAGACTTATGTAAATATGTCGTATGGAAGTTTGAGAAAGGCGACGAAGAAGATGTGTTATGCGATGAGAGAATTATTGGCAATTTAAAACGTAAAGCAACGCAATGATGAGGGTACATAAATAAAACAAAGAAAGGAAATAAGAAAAAAGAGAAATGAAGAGGACATTGACTGGAGAGATCCGAGAAGGGGTGCAGGAGGAAGATGAGAATTCAAGTAATATTATAGATATGTAGATGTAGAGACAAGGACAGGATTACGGTTGATAAGTCTAGGGGAGTGTTTTAGATGAGAAGGAAAGATTTGATCAGCATAAACCGTTTGCATTTAAACTAAATCTCCGCTTAGTAACCAATCGAATAATGTTTTACTTGAGAGGACTAGAAAATTATGATACGTAGAGATAACATGAAAAATTTGAGATTTTTATAATGAAATGTATTAAAGATGACGATATTCAACCTTGAACGAATGCAGTATAAAGATAAAAATAATTAATTTTCTTTTATAAATATACATTGATGACGGTTTTTCTGCTAACTTCGGGGCTTTAAGATAAAAATTGAATATATAAGAGACAAGTTTATACCATCAATTTTATCGCTTTTCAATTTTTTTGTTCATTTTATTTAATAGGCAAAAAAAAGCAACCAGTAACGTTAAGCAAAAAGTTACTATGGAATCTAGTAAAAACAACTTGAAGTATATATAACACAGCATGTTTTCAGGTGAGAAAGAGAGGTCATGGCGCCACGTTTCATTTAAATAAATCTCTATTCAGAATTCCCCATGAATTTACATAATCTGAACACGAGGCGGTCGACTATTGCTACACGTGGGTTTTCCTTTTTAAAAACTTAAGAAAAGAGTTCTTTGATAATGCCGTTATATGTTTTTCTGTGAAGGGTTTCGACAATATCATAACCGATAACGATATCAAGATTATCTGCAAAAACTCTTAAACAGGAAGACTGGACACTAGAAAAACTAGACTTGAAGTGCAGCATAGTTGACAAACTCATCAGCTCAGAAATAGAGAGGAAAGAAAGAGAGGACAGATAGGCTGCTGTCTGTATCAATGAGCTTAATGTTTGGCCTGGTGTGGGGGTTTCAGTTTTGATGTGATCTGTTACGTCTATTTTACCTGTGATGTATTGTCAGTTTTGATGTGATATGTGACGTCTATTTTACCTGTGATGTATTGTCAGTTTTGATGTGATCTGTTACGTCTATTTTACCTGTGATGTATTGTCAGTTTTGATGTGATATGTGACGTCTATTTTAGCTGTGATATATTGTCAGTTTTGATGTGATATGTGACGTCTATTTTACCTGTGATGTATTCTCGTTATTAAAGGGAGCATTCATACACTGTTGACTTATTTAAGGAACAACGTTTTGATGTTAATGAAAAACAGCACCGTTATTCCTGCTATACTAAGCCTGTGTTTATCTTCATGTTGCTCTACTCTACTGTTTGGCACAAAAACAGTGAAAAAACGAAAACTTCATTTGATCAGGCCTAAATGTTCTACACATCCACAAATGTACACAGAATCGGATGTATTGATGATAACTCAACATATCTTTCGTTATTTGTTAAGCGTCCTTTTTAATCTTTATATGAAATAAGATACAATTATACTACCGACAGTTTACACTATGTCAGCCCTATAGGTGATTAAAGAGTTATAACTAGAATCGTATCCAATTATACTGATGTCAATCTAACCAGTTCTCTATTTGACATGTTGATACCGTATGTCACCGGCCAACAATGGACTTGGCAGGTCACGTAAGGTCTCTAAGCGGACAGGCAACGCCATTAACGGTAAAACTAACACCGATGGCAAACGTATTGATGTTCATGTCTCTTAATTAAAAAGTTGATATTGGTGTTAAACTGTAAACACGAACGTCTCTGTTGTAATACACTTCTCATCTTTCTTCGAACACAGTTAGTATACCGTGTCTGATCGGTATATACCAACACCTGGATACGGACACGGACAAATATCCGGATAGGTTGCTGACTACAAACTCTTATATGTGAACGTGCTTTCAGCCTTGATAGATGTTTTAGGGCGAAACATCGCATGATTAGAGACTAAAAAACGCGTATCTTTCGTGACAGAAGTAATGCTTACAAGATATTTAGTTGAGGAATGCATTTCTTTGACAAGTAGCAGCAATGTCGAAACATTAAATATCGTGCTGTTTCGGGAAAGGCTATTACCAGTGTAGAATGTTACTAATTTTCTCAAATCTTTATGGTGTTTTTCCCATTTGTGGGACGATTGGGGAAAGGCAGGGAGTAAAAGCATAACACGACCTTCTACAGGGTTAACTACTTCTCGCGCCTAGAACCCTTAGGGAATTACTTAATGAATTGTTGTCCACGTCTTTAAAAAAATGGGAAAAGGATGTATTGTCCCTTTAGCTGGAAATTTAATGACTAAAGCGAATGACACGATACTCCTTTTTGTAACTGATCACGTCTTACAGATATAAAAGGGGATTATCAGCTTCATCTCGTATCTTTAGAAATTTAGAATCGTTTTGAGGAGGATCTTGAAAACACTTCAAAGCACTCATTCAAAGATAAAGTAAGATTTCCAAAAGAAAAAATAACCTTCGAAAACACAGCTTTAAAGTTCTAGTTTATTTGAACTGAAATAGAGAAACGTCTTCAAATGCGTTTATATATAGCCTGACAAATTTGCGATCTTGATATCCAAATGTTTTGTAAAGGGAGCTAGGAAGACATTCCCTATTTTGATTACATAGTTGTGTGTGTGCCGGTCTCATGGAAGCTTTTTATCCACCGGAGGGACACGCTTTAAGGGTCAAGGTCAACTCACCGCGACACCTATTGGTAACAAAGACTAGCCAGTCCTCTAAAATACCCCCACACACGTAAACCCGTCACCACTGGGCGGGGATTGTATGGTGACACGATTACCGAAACGCGGATCAATTTCAGCAGTGTAATTCCCAGTGACAATGTTGGTTGACTGATAGGAGCTTTACATTTCATCACCGCATACAAGTTCATTGCTTCCTGTTGTCAGTGATGTTTACGGATTCAAGTTTGTTCACCGAGAGAAACACGCTTAGATCGAACAATTTTGTCGTTAACGCTGGAGTTTAACTAGCTATCAGTAGGAGTAGCTACCCTATAACCATTCTCCGCTATTCGCCGCATGGTGCTGATAATTTGACACGCTCGAGAAATATCTCTATTGTAAACTGTGTGTGATATTGAATTCATTTCAGTGACATCTTTGTGAAATTCTGTACCGATAAAATTTGTTATTCTGCGTCAAACATACTGATGTAGGGAGGCAACAGTTCGGATTTGAATAGCGATGGTGGTGGTTATTCCGCTGTTAGATTGATTCGGATTGACGTAATGATGTAACACAATGGACACCTCATCAGTCCTGGTACTAGTTCTCATGGTAAGTCACACATTCATGTACATACTTCCACGTGGTGACTTCTCTTATTTAATGAATTGTCGGATGAAATGCTTTTAAAGGAAACATCTCCTGTTTAACACGAGTAGCTTACTAAGGTCCTGCAGTAACTGAAGCTGCAAAATATCGCGTGCTCTTTATCTATTTACTTAGTAAATGTAAACATAATCAACTGAACTCTCTGACCTTTTTGAGAATGAAGATAACGGCCTTATCTGAATTTAATGGATAACAAATTAGCGAGACGCCATACAAAGTGTTGTGTGTTTCGACGATGTGACGGAGAGATATAGCTGTGTATTGTTAGCATGCGGGTAGTTTGTGTAGAGGTGATTTCGTCGTGTTCCCTGAAGTATTCACATACAACTCTCACACTATTACATTTTAAGATTTTGTTTGCAGTATAGCAACTATATATAAAATTCGTTGAATTCATAGCATTGTAAACAGTTCAAGCTTGTATATGAATTTTAAAGATAAAGCGTACAAAGCTATAAATAACGATGTGAATAATTTACAATCCACCAAAATTACGACATTTTGAATTTAGAAAAAAGGAAATAAAATTCTCACTTAACATTATGAGATATGGCTGACCGTGACAATTCACATTAAGTTGGCCTACCCTATTTTAAGTCGCTCTATGACCTAGTTTAAAACCAATATTTGTGATAAACACATTTGGCTCTGCCCCATACAATAAATAATACAAAATCAGGTGGGCAACGTTTGATAAAAGTAATATCACAGTATATGTTGTGTGTGTGGCGATTTACCTCACTAGTTGTGTGACACGAAGCTTTCACACAAGTGTTCAGTATTGTAACGCAGCGTTGACGTGGTGTTGAAGAGAGTGGGTTATTTAATCATCTCTGCTTGTCAATTGATCAACCTAATACCTATTTAGCTTCTTAAAACCATCTTTTCTTATTCGTCTCTTTTATACTTCAATTGTCTCTCCAGATAAACTTTACCTTGAAGAAAAAAAATGTTAACAGCATCACAGATATATAGTTACGATCGAATTATTTCCGCTAACATGAGGTGTTCAATAAGGTACATGATTGAAACACTTGACAATGGTAGTTGTGGTTATACGTACAGATATGTGTTTGATTTACTTTGTATAAGCGGTGTCGTCCTTTCAGCATGTAGTTCATAGTTGAACGATACCAACCAATTTATATTACTTTTAGAGTTTAAACTCTCAGAATTGATACTGAGTAGAAATGTTTGTATTGGCGTCTAATATCACATAGTATCCATGCTATACCGATACAACATCAACAGAGAGATAGTGTACATATATTAAGATAGGAAAACGTTTATATAATTGAATTATTTTTAAGTAAATATAACTTACATTAAAGAAATCAATCAAATTCGACAATGACAAATTTGCTGATTTACATTGTTTTCCTATACTTCTTCATAAAACGAAACAGTTTAATGTTTAACAAGCTACTGATGTCACGTGTAAACGAATGTTTAGTGGCCATTTCAGACCCAAATCAAATGAACATTCTATGATATTGACGTCGATGTCTCTGATATTGTCTGTTTATGTGAAAAATGAAATCCAGGATAGTTAGTGTAGAGTGATGTTTTTTAGTGAGAGGGGCTCCAGTGTTACAAACTTGTATAATCATGTTTATTTCGGACCTTGGAATGTTTATTGTACATATGTAGTAATCACTATTTTATCAACAAATTCCGAAGTATCCACAAGCACTGGACCCCATGACAAGGAAAGCATAAATATACTCCTTGGTCAGATGCTTCGTCAACGATGTCATACATGTAAATCTAGGTCAGATGCTTCATCAACGATATCCTCCGTGTAAATCGAGATCAGATGCTTCATCAACGATATCCTCCGTGTTAATCGAGATCAGATGCTTCATCAACGATATCCTCCGCGTAAATCTAGGTCAGATGCTTCATCAACGATGTCCCCCTTGTAAATCTAGGTCAGATGCTTCATCAACGATGTCCCACTTGTAAATCTAGGTCAGATGCTTCATCAACGATATCCTCCGTGTAAATGTAGGTCAGATGCTTCATCAACGATATCTTTCTTGTAAATCTAGGTCAGATGTTTCACCAACGATACCCTCCGTGTAAATATAGGTGTGATGCTTCGTAAATGCTAGCAAATCCTTGCTTGAACTGCGATTTTTAATATTTTCAATGGTAATTAACAATGAGGAATCTGTTCATTCTTTTTGATATCGCTACTAGTAAATTTCCTTTTTAATTGGCGGATAATGCAGATATACGACTGCAGTTCCTGGCCAGGGCCTGAGTGATGTATCAAACACTTGTCCATCCCTATTACAGATACATATCTAGACGCTCTTAATGGACGGAATACTCTATGATTGTCCAGTCATGTGTGACAAATAGGCGCTGATTCTGACCCTTTTACAAATGACCCGTCCGAGGTACTTCCGTCGATTTCACCATTCATTACAAGACCTAATTGTCTTTTAATTCTACACATAAGGATGAATTGGCACATCTCACAGCTAGGCGCGTGCTGTGATGATCCCGCGAGACTTTCAAGTGAAGCGGTTAAGTTGATTATTTATTGTCAAATAACCGTGAAACAAGCGTGTTTAGAAGTACGTAAACCACAAATGAAAATCACACCCTCCTACGGTTTGTACTTTAATGAGTCGTTTGTAAGTTTATCTTTACATAAGGCCGGGGAAAAGTGAGGCTGCCTGAATTTTCCGATGAGAACAACTTTGTTGAATTTAGTCGTTATTTTTTATTTGACAATTGAATGACTTTTAGCATGAATATGAAAAGAAAATCTTGGCAGATTCTCTTTCGAGAAATACTGCTTTACCAACACATAAAGAATCACGAGTCAAAATAAATTTAAAACCCTAACGACACTGAGTTTACTTTTTTTCAGATTGCTAACCAAATCAACGCCATAGATGGAAGTTGGTCCGAATGGAGTCAATGGAGTGATTGTTCAAGGTCATGTGGTGGTGGATTAACCAATCAGAGGCGGCGTTGTTTAGGTGATAGGTTCCGATGCAGAGGCCCGGATGTGAAATACAAGATATGTAACACACAGGTATGTTACAACAAGGTTGTACCTTTGCGTCGTAGTTCTCAAAGTGTTGAAAAACAACGTGCTTCTTGAGGTTTGGCAGCATATCCCAACAAAATTGCATTGTTGAGGTATTCCGTGTCTATGATGTAAATTATGTTTGGATAGAGATGTTCCATATCCGGTATGACTTTATCATTGGAAAGCGGAGTTTCGCATCCGTTGTGTGACTTTTTTATCGGTAACGATGTTTTTTGTCCTTGGTGTGAATTAATTTTGGATACAGGTGTTTCGTATCCGGTATGACTTTAATTTTGGAAAGCGGAGTTCCGCATCCGTTTTGTAAATTTATTTTTGGATAACGGTATTCCACATTCGTTGCGGAGCCAGTGTTCCGTGTCCATGGAGTAACCTTATTTCTCAGTAACGGCATTTCGTGTCCATGGTATGACTGTTGTTTATTTTTAACGGTTATTTAGTGGTCGTTATTTCACTTAACTTCACCCGAATTTTTGCCGAGTTTACAATTCCTTAAAATCGATCTGGCAGAACTTACTACATTTAGAATGAACGTTGACGCTGTATACTTAGAAATACCATTTCTGTTTTGCTGTCTTCTGATTTGGCATTCCCTCCGAGCGTTCCTTTGTAACATTATTACATTCTTTCTCATCACGAACAGTGCACTCTATCCCGTGGTAATTTTGTTTGTTATGTACATGCACGCACCAACTGTCATCTCAACATCTTAAAGAAATCAATAAGGAATGGTAATCTGACGTCATTTTGTAATGAAATCATTCCTCAGGGACGAAGCTGAAATTACCCAACGTAATCAAAATTAGAATGAAATATGCGTTATTGTAAATCTGGGACCGACGAAGATTTCGGTTTAAGAGCAAAGGAATAACACCCTGTCGTTCCATCGTTGAATGTATTTCAGAATAAAATTAATTTAAGGACACATTGTAGCCAATCAGCCAATCAGAAACAATCTTTTTTGAAAGTGCGTTACTTGGTCTACCAGTTACTGTAATGACTAGTTGTATCGTCAACTGTGACAGTTCGGTGTCTTTGTTTTGTAGGCATGCTCGTTTACCTATCAATCTTTAGAGGACCAGGTGTGTGAGATGAAAAATAGAGTACCTATCAACGGGAGATACCATCGCTGGGTTCCCCTGTCACGACAACAGTACCACTGTTTTGTGATGTGTGAAGATGAACACCGAAACATTCCGAACGTATTGGAGGTACATATCCCGGACGGAACAAGGTGCGGGCATAGTACAAATCACCACTGCATCGAAGGCAAATGTGAGGTATGTATCTTGTGGGCGATACATACACCTTGATCTTGGCAGCTTTTATCTCCGAGAGATAAGGACTCAGACTAGATCCAAAGACAGATTACAATAAATAAGACAAACGTGCCGTTTTTTGTGTGCCCTCAAACAAGAAAAAGATTCAAAGTGTTTGAAGACCCAGTCAGAGATTAAAAAACAGGTTTTATTGCCATTCTTTGTTTAATCTGTATGTGCACTGGCTGGTTTAAGTTGGAAATATTCTTGACGGCAAACAACCAATAAATAGTGGTATGTCAAGAAAATTTCCTGAAAATATGTAAATCTAGTTTGACTTTTCATTTTTTTGAGATAAAGAAGTGAAGGTGTTCATGAATGACTAGAATTAAAGCTATTTTATACGAATATTTTATTTTTGAATTTTGAAAGTCTGGAATGATTAAGTTGCATTTTAGAAGCCTGGAGAAGATGTTTTTTTGATAACATTAACCAGAATTTTGTTTTGATGACATTATACGTTGTAATTTGTTTTGATAAATATTTGTTTTTAGAACATTGGTTGCGATAGTTTCATTGGATCCGGAGCGGAAGTTGACGATTGTGGTATATGTAAGGGAGACAATTCTACCTGTCATCAACCTCTTAGGAATAGACTATCAGGAAAGATACCAGATAATCCGTACCAGTGGGATGTTCGCTGGGGACCTTGTTCTGCAACGTGTGGTGTAAGTCTTTGTTCGTAGTCCATTCACAACTAACAAGAAGTTGTTAACATTCAGAGGGTATCTGTGAAATTCTTGCTCACAATGGCTTTTATTTCAACACATTTCCGCTTTCATAAAACTGTAAAAAAATGATTCACAAATGACCAAAAAAAAGGAAAATTAATAAAATCTAAATTTACATTTGACTTAACTGCCTTTAAACTGCATATCAACCAAACAATTAAGAAGGAAAATGAAAAATGGTCGGATCGTAAATATTGTACAATGTTCTGAAATTCAGCTTTATTTTCGCGTCCTTAAAATCTATGTCAACAATCTGTGGTTTATGGTGTGAAATTGGTTTTAATCTTCTTTAATCTAGACTTTCAGAGTTGTAATTTACAAAAGGAAACATGAGCAAAACAGAAAAAAATGTCGACGTTATTTACTTAATTGTACAAATTGTAGTCTACAGACCAACTTCTACAACAGTCATGTTAAGAGCTTTATTGCAGCTTTTAAGTTCAGCTACAGATTTACAAATTATGTAAAAATGTCAAATGTCTCAGATTATACGTTTGAATTTGTTTGTTTTAAATTATGTCCGACTTTGGGGACAAAAGGGACTTTCATTCATTCTAAGACCTCCGTAATGATGTTGATACCGAATCCTAAACATTGCATGAATTTACCAAGATGTCTAGTAAATAAATATGTTAATATTGCACTAGTCCTTGTCAGTAGAATGTCTCTGGATAGAGTACCATGACACCGTGATGATGATTCAGAATGATTTCTTTATAGAAGTACCTTTTAGTGTCACATCACCTGTAGACAACTGTGTAGATGTAAAGCAAGGAACATTCAGATTTAAAAACTTTTCCTTTGGGGAAGTAACGAGAAATAATTGGTCTGATAGATAAGTAGATACAAAGTTATAAAAATGATTGGTCTGGTAGATAAATAGATACAAAGTTATAAAAAATGATTGGTCTGGTAGATAAATAGATACAAAATTATAAAAAACGATTGGTCTGGTAGATAAATAGATACAAAGTTATAAAAAAATGATTGGTCTGGTAGATAAATAGATACAAAGTTATAAAAATGATTGGTCTGGTAGATAAATAGATACAAAGTAATGAAAAATGATTGGTCTGGTAAAAACAGATACAAAGTAATGAAAATGATTGGTCTGGTAGATAAATAGATACAAAGTTATAAAAAATGATTGGTCTGGTAGATAAATAGATACAAAGTAATGAAAAATGATTGGTCTGGTAGATAAATAGATACAAAGTTATAAAAAATGATTGGTCTGGTAGATAAATAGATACAAAGTAATGAAAAATGATTGATCTGGTAGATTAACAGATACAAAGTAATGAAAATGATTGGTCTGGTAGATAAATAGATACAAAGTTATAAAAAATGATTGGTCTGGTAGATAAATAGATACAAAGTTATAAAAAATGATTGGTCTGGTAGATAAATGATTGGTCTGGTAGATAAACAGATACAAAGTAATGAAAATGATTGGTCGGGTAGATAAATAGATACAAAGTTATAAAAAATGATTGGTCTGGTAGATAAATAGATACAAAGTAATGAAAAATGATTGGTCTGGTAGATAAATAGATACAAAGTTATAAAAAATGATTGGTCTGGTAGATAAATAGATACAAAGTAATGAAAAATGATTGATCTGGTAGATTAACAGATACAAAGTAATGAAAATGATTGGTCTGGTAGATAAATAGATACAAAGTTATAAAAAATGATTGGTCTGGTAGATAAATAGATACAAAGTTATAAAGAATGATTGGTCTGGTAGATAAATAGATACAAAGTAATGAAAAATGATGGATCTGGTAGATAAACAGATGCAAAGTAATGAAAATGATTGGTCTGGTAGATAAATAGATACAAAGTTATAAAAAATGATTGGTCTGGTAGATAAATAGATACAAAGTTATAAAAAATGATTGGTCTGGTAGATAAATAGATACAATGTAATGAAAAATGATTGGTCTGGTAGATAAACGGATACAAAGTAATGAAAATGATTGGTCTGGTAGATAAATAGATACAATGTAATGAAAAATGATTGGTCTGGTAGATAAACAGATACAAAGTAATGAAAATGATTGGTCTGGTAGATAAATAGATACAAAGTTATAAAAAATGATTGGTCTGGTAGATAAATAGATACAATGTAATGAAAAATGATTGGTCTGGTAGATAAATAGATACAAAGTTATAAAAAATGATTGGTCTGGTAGATAAATAGATACAAAGTAATGAAAAATGATTGGTCTGGTAGATAAATAATGAAAAATGATTGGTCTGGTAGATAAATAGATACAAAGTAATGAAAAATGATTGGTCTGGTGGGTAGATGTATAGGTAGATGCAACACTTCATTAATCTAACTAACCAACAATCATACAGAACTTACAGATTAAGTACGGAAATTACTCATGTGTAATGTGTCAGATGTGATATCCAAGGAAATCTACATATCCGAAAATGTTTATTTGTTACAATTCAGCTTAAGGTGCAAGTATGACATGTTAATCTGTCATTTGCCCATGCTTTCCTTCGTTTATGGACGTTTAGGTCTAATTACGGGTAGTTTTTTATCTCGATATTCTTTCTTTTTATTTTCTCCTTTTTGAAAGCATGCAATTATTTCAAACTTGGGATCATTTGACAGCCTGCACCTGTGTCGATCATTACAGATAATCGTGTATGCGTATATTACCTGGATCTACACAATACACATGTCTTGTTTAAATCTGACATGTCAAAATGTAATATGGTGATTAGCTGTCGCTGTTGCTGTCAAATTCCTTATTCAATTTCATTTAATACTGCTGGGGATATTTGTATTTTTTTTAGATATATCAAAGTGCAATCGATATCAATGTGAAATATATCCGAATGAATTTTGACGTTTTAAGTGTTTCACCAAGTTAAGATCTTCACGTGCCAGTTTAAGCGTTATGATTGCACAATTACCTGTACTTTATCGACGTACTCCAGCAGTTTAATTTGTATTTAATTTACATTTCCATATTGTGTTTTAGGCAACATTCGTTTCACATTACAATCTGAATGTAAGAGATATTCTGTAGTGAGTTGTGGACACAGATAGCCATTGGTATATTGGTGGGTCGTACAATGACCTGACACACTGATTCACTTTATCCAAGAATTGTTTAAACATGTATGGTTTTAATCTTAGATATAACAGATATTGTCAGGTTTTATTTCGCATTACGGTACCCATCAAAACTGATGCATGTGTGATAAATCATGTTGATATTGTGTTTTAACTGATTTCTTAACAAGATTGATCATTATTTAAAACATGAGCTGTAATGTGTGGGACGATGACACTGCATTATGAAACAGTGTTTAGTCATAGTATAGAAAATAGTTATGCCTTTAAAAATATTGATGCGATTTAAGTGATTTATATTTAAGCTCAGAAATCTTTTTGCTTTTCGAGCGGATGAAAATCTGAAGGCATTGTAGTTTTAAGTTTTAAAATTTGGCGTACATGGGTCTTTGATCAGCTTGATGAAATGTAGGACAAAATAGAAATCCTTGTTTATAACAGGTTCAATAGTTACCTAAAACAAACCAACGGGGAAAGTATGTTACAGATATGTTGTAATTCAATATTGATTCGATTGGACATTTCTCTGTACCACCAATAACAAAAATTTGATTAATGTCTTTAGACAGGGTACCAGACTGCTTCTTTCCATTGTAAGGACATGCGATATGATGTGATCACCTTCGAATTTTCATGCACTTCCCCGCGTCCTCAAGACATCACAAGAGAATGTAGAAAAAGGATGTGCGATCCAGGGTAAATATGATTATTATGACGTCATTTAGACATTATAAATGTCATCAAATGTCCTATTTTAGCGACTAATTAGATGTATGATATTGGCAATATATCCGACATACATGTAAACAATATTGTATAGGATAAAGTCAAAATTTGTGCACGTATAATCAAAACTGTGATTCAAACTCGATATTGATTAAATGATGGCAAAAAAGGAAGTAAGGACGATTTACATGGAAATTCCTGAGAAAAGGAGATGAAGAACCAATGAGATATTTAAATCGCATGTACGGAACGTTCTAGCAGAATGGACAATAGAATTACACAACTGAATTAATCTGTCTTTCATGTGAAGCTATTAATATCGAAGAACTCATCAAAGTAGGTAACAAGACCATACAAAGTCCTGAAAATTTGCTTTTAGATATATTTCTGATGTAATTTGTTATATGAAAAAAAAAACATTGCCGAATCTAATCTGGTTGAAAACCACCAATCAGTTGATTACCTCAATCTTTACCTAAAGCAATAAAAAAGGGCAGATTTCCATTGAACCAACAAATAGTGGATATGTTTTCGTATTCTCGTTGTGAATTTTACATTTCTTAGTGGAAACAGTCCTGCTTGCTCAGCTTACAAGGCTGCTAACATATCACAGCTGATTTCTCATTGTGTGCTCCACTTCAATATCACGATTTGAGTTAGTGATTTCAACAACTGACAACATAGGATTTCAAAAGATGAAGGTTTATAATAAATATTGGGAAGTTTTATATTCGGAATCCTGATCTCATTTACCAATTTGATATTGTATGTAATAACTGGTTGGCATAAGCTTTAAATGGCAAGTGTCTCTGATTACGGTTACCCTTCCGGAACACCTGGTATTTTGATTATCTCTGAATAGAATACTTGTTTTGAGCATATTTGCCAACGGTTGATCACTTTGAATGAATATTTTCTTACTGTGTTGGTATTTTTTATTGTAGACAGAATGTTATTGATTTTGATGAACAACTAGCCGAGTAAATGATAAAAAGACTGCTGATGAGAATCCCTTTTAGTAACCATGACAACGAAGGATGCCTGTTTTAATATTAAACTCAGTTTATAACTATCTGTCAATACACACTATTAATAAATAAGATTATTTACTCCCATCAGGTGGCGTGTTAACTCTTGGTCAGCCTGCTCCGTACCATGTGGAGGAGGAAAGAAGAACCGCGAGGTGAAATGCATGCAGGATACTGGGAGAGGACGAACAACACCTGCTCCATCATACCGATGCCCAGATCCGATGCCAATATCGGAATCTCCTTGTAATATGCAGTTCTGTCCGGCGTATTGGCAGACAGGAAGATGGTCCGAGGTATATAACGATATATAATACATAAAATGTATTCCTGTACTAGACGTAAAATGGCGGTAATATTTAGACCCTCTAGTAAACATATTGCGCATTTATTAGGCGTAAATGCAACATTCTCATTCACCTATATGTTCAAGATTGGCTCAATATTCAACCCAGACAATTCCATATTACGTCTTGTTCACTATCATTAGTCAGCATTTAACCCCGATCTCTACACAAAGGCTGACCAGTAAACAAATAGTGATGACATAAGAAATATCACATTATCACTAGTGACGGTATAACGTTATGTATTATCTTTGTGTAACTCATGATTCAGGAATAACGTTATCTAACTCGTGATTTACGAATAACGTTGTCTAACTCGTGATTAAGGAATAACGTTGACCAACTCGTGATTTACGAATAACGTTGTCTAACTCGTGATTCAGGAATAACGTTGACCAACTCGTGATTTACGAATAACGTTGTCTAACTCGTGATTCAGGAATAACGTTGTGTAACTCATGATTCAGGAATAACGTTGTCTAACTCCTGATTCAGGAATGACGTTGACCAACTCGTGATTTACGAATAACGTTGTCTAACTCATGATTCAGGAATAACGTTGACCAACTCGTGATTTACGAATAACGTTGTCTAACTCATGATTCAGGAATAACGTGGACCAACTCGTGATTTACGAATAACGTTGTCTAACTCATGATTCAGGAATAACGTTATCTAACTCATGATTCAGGAATAACGTTATCTAACTCATGATTCAGGAATAACGTTGACCAACTCGTGATTAAGGAATAACGTTATCTAACTCCTGATTCAGGAATAACGTTGTCTAACTCATGATTCTGGAATAACGTTGTGTAACTCATGATTCAGGAATAACGTTATCTAACTCATGATTCAGGGATAACGTTGTCTAACTCATGATTTACGAATAACGTTGTCTAACTCGTGATTAAGGAATAACGTTGCCTAACTCATGATTCAGGAATAACGTTGTCTAACTCGTGATTCAGGAATAACGTTGACCAACTCGTGATTTACGAATAACGTTGTCTAACTCGTGATTAAGCAATAACGTTATCTAACTCATGATTCAGGAATAACGTTGCCTAACTCATGATTCAGGAATAACGTTATCTAACTCGTGATTAAGGAATAACGTTGTCTAACTCTTGATTAAGGAATAACGTTGTCTAACTCATGATTCAGGAATAACGTTGTCTAACTCGTGATTAAGGAATAATGTTATCTAACTCGTGATTAAGTAATAACGTTGTCTAACTCATGATTCAGGAATAACGTTGTCTAACTCGTGATTAAGGAATAATGTTATCTAACTCGTGATTAAGTAATAACGTTGTCTAACTCCTGATTCAGGAATAACGTTATCTAACTCATGATTCAGGAATAACGTTGTCTAACTCGTGATTCAGGAATAACGTTGTCTAACTCTTGATTAAGGAATAACGTTATCTAACTCGTGATTAAGGAATAACGTTGTGTAACTCATGATTCAGGAATAACGTTGTCTAACTCATGATTTACGAATATTGTCTACCTCGTGATTCTGGAATAACGTTGTCTAACTCGTGATTTACGAATAACGTTGTCTAACTCGTGATTTACGATTAACGTTGTCTAACTCGTGATTCAGGAATAACATTGTCTAACTCATGTTTTACGAATAACGTTGTCTAACTCTTGATTCAGGAATAACGTTGTCTAACTTATGTTTTACGAATAACATTGTCTAACTCTTGATTCAGGAATAACGTTGTCTAACTCATGTTTTACGAATAACATTGTCTAACTCGTGATTCAGGAATAACGTTGTCTAACTCATGTTTTACGAATAACATTGTCTAACTCGTGATTCAGGAATAACGTTGTCTAACTCATGTTTTACGAATAACGTTGTCTAACTCTTGATTCAGGAATAACATTGTCTAACTCATGTTTTACGAATAACATTGTCTAACTCATTATTTAGGATGAACGTTGTCTAACTCGTGATTTAGGATAACGTTGTCCAAGTCCTGATTCAGGAATAACGTTGTGTAACTCGTGATTAAGGAATAACGTTGTCTAACTCGTGATTAAGGAATAATGTTATCTAACTCGTGATTAAGGAATAACGTTGTGTAACTCATGATTCAGGAATAACGTTGTCTAACTCATGATTTACGAATAGCGCTGTCTAACTCGTGATTAAGGAATAATGTTGTCTAACTCGTGATTAAGGAATAATGTTGTCTAAATCATGTTTTCCGAATAACATTGTCTAACTCATGATTCAGGAATAACATTGTCTAACTCATGTTTTACGAATAACATTGTCTAACTCGTGAATCAGATATAACATTGTCTAACTCATGTTTTACGAATAACATTGTCTAACTCTTGATTCAGGAATAACATTGTCTAACTCATGTTTTACGAATAACATTGTCTAACTCATTATTTAGGATGAACGTTGTCTAACTCGTGATTTAGGATAACGTTGTCTAACTCGTGATTAAGGAATAACGTTATCTAACTCGTGATTAAGGAATAACGTTATCTAACTCGTGATTAAGTAATAACGTTGTCTAACTCGTGATTAAGGAATAACGTTATCTAACTCGTGATTAAGTAATAACGTTGTCTAACTCGTGATTCAGGAATAACGTTGTCTAACTCGTGATTAAGGAATAACGTTATCGAACTCGTGATTAAGGAATAACGTTGTCTAACTCATGTTTTACGAATAACGTTGTCTAACTCATGATTTACGAATAACGTTGCTACGAATTTTTTTTGCTAATTGATTATAATGGAATTATAACAAGTTAACTAAAGAAATGCAGTATTAAAATGTGAAAACCTTAAACTGTAAAAGTCTCATTTGAAATATATAAGACAGAGATCCCAAAATTCTATCTGGCATTAGTTTTTTCTTCTTTTATTCTCACATTCTTCAATTAAAAAATGCACTTAGATTCTCCCGAATCCTGTTTCTTAAAACATTTAAAGTATTGCGCTTGACAATTATTTGGATATGAAATTACCTATGTAACAGGACAATGCATAAACAATTCTACTTGAGATGTGAATTGTCACTTTTCAAAGCATTTTCATGTCAATTTGACCATCGCTACACTTTCACGTGGTAATAACTTAGCATCATGTTTCAAAAGTCAACTGCTATTTTGTAATCACATCTGTGAAATAACGACAACGTTTATCTTAATTTAAGTCAGCGGTGCCAGAAGTCTACATAACCGCGTATTTGATATCGTATGTCAGCATTTTCTTTTTTAAGAATAGTGTATAAAACTAGCCTAAGTTTAAGAGTTTAAGTGACTAAATTGTACGTTTTGGGTATCAAAGGCCTATCATAAAAGCGCTTGACACTGACAATGAAATTGTTTGTGTGTCTGTTTAGTTGGCGCCATATAGCTTTGATATATCTAACAGCATGTTGTTGCCTATAATAATGTGTAGCTGGATCAGATGCTGTTTTGCGAACTGCGAATATTTATGCTTGTTTTTATCACTGTGTGACCCGTAAATGTTTCATGTATAATTTCTCCGCGTATCAATGATGATCTCTATATATGTAAGATCATTTTGATAATTCATTATTTATTTCTGTCCTTGTGGTGACATCTTAATTTACCAGAAAAGTAAAAGGACTCGTAGTAAAGCCCCGCTCCTCCCTGTTCGTACTAATCTACATCCAGTGACATGTGTTCCAGTATTAGTGTGATAACAAAAACTGGTTTTCTTTCTATTTTTGATAATTTAACAATGTCCGATTCTTAATTTCAGACAAGATTACACCATCAGGAATAGACACATGGTAATCAATTGACGATATACTGTTAATCATAATAATTAAACAAACCAAACCTGCGGTAATTAAATGTTGAGATAGATCAGAATGATTTCGTTGTATCCACCTGTCCCGGATGTTATATGATAGTTATGTATAGTGTAGGATTATTCGTGTACCCAGCATACTCCAGAAAGCTGAGACGAATAGACGGCCTAGTTTTCTTTTACGTTCTGGGAAGACGACATTCTGTGATATAGAAATACTAAAATGTAAGATAGGACACTTAAAGGTAATTAAACGAATATATGATATATGTCTCTGATAGTGATACTACTCCCGGAAGCCGTTGGTGCAGATTAGATTTTATAAATATTGTGTATCTGTAAGCTTCTCAAATGATGATGACGAGTGTCAATGATGCTTCTGCACATTCTTTACGAACACTGTAGCCATCACTTATGATATGGCTTTCTCAATCTCCCACACTGAACCTCAGTCATAAAAGTGCTTTCTTTTTATTCCTGTACTCTGCAAACCCTCTTTTATTATTTGTATTTCAATAACGAAACAGATATTAGCAGGTCACTGCTAGATAATGGCATATCATACATCTTTTATTAATCTATACAACGACGAAACACATAGCGTCAACAAACATTGCTTGTGGGAAGAATGCTATGAACGTTTCAAATAGCAGCTTATAAATCATCTTTATGGCCCTCACGGCAATGTACATTACACGTGCATCCAGCCCTCTATAACAAATAGTCCATTATACATGTAACACATTTGATTCATTATTCGATTGCATTGCCATTTTTTATTGTTTAGAACTTCAATTTTTTATATTCTCAGAACTCCTTTAGGTTGTTGCGAGAACATCCGAACCATCTGAACCACTTGTCTATGACAAAGCGTTTTATCTATAAACAGTGGTCATTTTACAATTATAACAACAAAGCAGAATTATTACGCAACATACTGTTAGGAAGAGTGTTTACGAATCCAGAGATCCTTTATATAAATATTTGTGTCTGATTGCTTGATACGTCTGAAAAGGTAATATTACTATACTGAATTGACGAAAATTAATGTATAAACATTCATTTTCTGTCGACTATGATATTTATTGTAATGGTGATGAATGATGATGATTTGTTTTGTCTCGCAGTGCTCTGTTTCCTGTGGGATAGGACAAGAAAGTCGCCCAGTTTACTGTGTGAAGATCCCGAGACAGGGATCGAAGGTCAACGTATCTTCCGTGGAATGTCGCGGTCCTAAGCCTGCGGGATCGCGATCGTGTTCCCGTCCGGAATGTTACCAGAGTTTCGCTAAAGTTCCTTCCATAACTCTCCACAATGATACTTTCTTACAAATACGACGAACAAAGCGAATCCATCTTCATGTTGGAGAGACCGCTACACTGCTGGCAGGACAGCCAGTAAAAGTTATATGTCCTGTTGAGAATTTTAATAAAAGACTTTTGTTCTGGACAAGGAATAATAGATTGATTCCAATGTCTAGAACAGAACGGGTTTTTGTATCTAGAAACGGAGCATTGAAAATAAAACGAACCGATCCTACCTTGGATACGGGAGAATTCACGTGCATAGCAGGAATGCAGAGTGCAACGATACGTTTACGATTTTCCTCTAAAAAGAAAGCGATGAATAAAGGGAGAAAATTAATGAAGTCAGTGATAAAAGAGACGGCATCAATGTCTTCGTCTCTGGACCAACCACAAAGCGACAAGATTCCAGCGCCACGGTCGCCACACTCGGTAAGGCGTGCGACGATGGACGCCATGTTGGACAGTCTTGGCGGAGACTTTGTCTACACGACAGCAGACTGGGGCGCCTGTTCCCGCACATGTGGAAAAGGGCTGCAGACCCGCAAAGTCGCATGTGTAAAAGCTACAAATGTTTACATAAAGGTTGTCAGCAAGGAGGCATGTAACGGCATTCAAAGACCGCCGGATGTCCGACCTTGCGTCATTCAGGAACAGTGTCCAAAGTGGGTCGTTGGAGAATGGCAAGAGGTAGTTGTATTTTTCATGTGCATGTTACGTATAATATTCAAGCGTGTTTCGGAATTCAAAACCATCGTTTCTGTCGGATGTACAGGAGTAACAATGATTTAGGATACTTGCTCCTCGTCAATTGTTTATATACACCCTGGATTCATACAAAACAAAGGTTGTTATACGTCCTCAACATGCCATTTCTTCACTTAATATGCTTCCCAATACTTCATTTAGATTACATTTGATGTTATTTCACTAGCTATATTCTAAACTAGTAACATATAATAATCAAGAATTACTTAAGAAATATGTACTTTTCACTTCCCTATCGCGATCTTTTTTATCAAAACGGTTTGGCTGGTTCAAAAGAACTCGTTCCCCTATGTTACTGGGTATCTTCAATATGCAAATGGTTTTTGTAACATTGTGTATTTTGAGGTAAAACAGTTGTATCCAGCCGGAAACCAAAGTGTCAGAGAATGCTTTGTGTGTGTTTTTTTTTAACAATGAACAGTTGTGTCCGCTCCTAACCATTAGTCTTTATAACAAACATCGCATACAGAGATATGAAAAACAAAACATCTCCCGTAGCGTTCTGTAATTCTGGTAGTGTATCACTTATCTATGATACTTATGTTTACGTGTTGTACGTATATATACCGGTAATAAATATGTTTACTTGTAAGATGACATCATAACATGCCATTACTTTCTCTTATTTCGATGGTTAAGTAGCGATTTGCAGCTGTTTTATTTTTTTAACTATGGAAATGCATATGAATACAACGGTGTTTATTGTTAAAGTTTTAGCAGGACCATCTATCTTTTCGATCTTGATTCCAAAAGTAAGCTCTATAAAATGTCAAAATCAACACTGTTTTCTCTATGTAAATTCACTGGCTTAGATAGATATCTTAGCCCGTGATACACTGTATAGACGAATGTGATATGTGTAAAAACAATTTCTGTATGGCAAAACTCTGCGATGCGTCATATCAAAATGATTTAAGTTCAGAATTTGAAAAGTATCGGAATACGTCCAATGATAATATTATTGATAATACACCTGTCCGGTTTCCCAAATATACATATACTACATCGGATGTATTTATATCACAAAAATGACAATCACCAAGCATATGTAAAGCACCTTTAAGTGTCCTAGATGAATTGGTAGAACATATTACACCCATCATTTTAGACACCTTCACTGTCGAATTAGGCCGTGCTGCAGATGTACAAGTCTTATCTATACGTCTGTGAGGTGGAAGTTATCACAGTCGTAGTCTTACATTGATAACAACATTTTACATATACTTCCAGTTTTATTGTTCCGATTTTTTGTTTTGATGCAATGCGCCAAATATAATCAAGAATACCTAGATGTTGGTGGGTCGGCGATGTAACTTTCTATTTTTGAATGTTCTTGATTATCATGAGCGGACGAACCCCTTATCACATTTTCCAATGTAGTCGTCTTAACATTATGTGTACAAAAGTATCAAAATTTTTGCATAATAGATTTTGAATTCACTAAAACTACAAATACACTATATATTTTATAATCAGTTAGAAATATACCATTGTTCACGTTGTGGTAAAGACACACAGGTGGTGAGTACATTTCAGTATAAATTTGACTCGTGATGGGTTCTACAGTTATGTTATATGTATATATTATAGAAACCACAACCGTATTCAGCATTTATGCTTATTTCTGTTTTATTTGACATATTTATTTATTTGACATACGCTAGAACTTGAACAACGGATTTCTTTTCAAGTCTCGTTTTTTTAAATTCAAGCTTATTGTGTTTTCCTAAAAAGAAAATTCTGCACAAGTTATTATTTCATATCATGTTTTTATTAAAAAATTACAATAGGGCCTACTTTTGTTCGTATAGAAATTGTACGCCTCAATTCACAATATATTAACAAACATGTAGGCCTAGGTAGCTCGATTTACAAACATTAGGGCGACCATGATTGAGTGCGGCAATGTGATATTTGTATATATTGAATATTGAATAAGTAAACATTATACGTGTAACTAAATATAATATATTTTTGACGCCCCTTCCGCTCCCCCCAACCCCCACCCCACCCCTTGATAAAAATACAAGAAAACGTCTTCCATTTGTTCGTCCGAAAATATAGGTTCGTAAGATGTACAGTTTCATGTTTGTTTTTGTTTCAATTTTAGTGCTCCGCAAAGCATTGCAAGAGGACTGGTCGAGCCACTCAGTCCCGGAATCTCCGCTGCCAAAGTGACAATAACACCGTGATACCACAGCGTCGGTGTTCACACTTACAGAAACCAGTTGTAAAGCAGGAATGCGAGAACCCGTCATGTTTACCTGTCTGGAACACATCAGGCTGGACCAAAGTGAGTACCGTTCATTATAAACGTTACATTTTAATGAGTGAGCTATATTAACATAACCTTGGTAAACTAGCGGCAGGCAGACTGGTGTAGTTTGTTAGTCCTGACGAGAAAATCTTTCTGGTTGAAACTAGCCTGTAAATTGTCTTCACATATTATATTACTGACTGGTTGCATTTCGGCATTAATTTAGTATAATCTATGTCGCATAATGACATAAAATTGCCCAAGCAAACTGTGAAATATACGGGACATGAATGCAATAATTGCAGATGTAATTTTAGTTATTTTTAGGGGAAATTGAATAATTTTTAAAGACGTCAAAGACTTGTATACATTTCGAACTGGTATCACTATCCACAGGAATGTGTACATTTTGAATAGCAAATGCACAGCCTAACACCTAACACCAAGCAAACACGTAAGTTGTACAAGAGACAAAGGGTAATGATATCTGTTAACAGTAACCATTGAATATGCATTGCTGTTTATCCATAACTTTCAGCTTTTGTCATGCATCCTGTTTTTATTATCCTTTCAGTGCAATCCACGTTGTGGGGACAAGAGAAGAAAAGTGCGTATGCTGGCATGTGTTTGGAAAAACACGGGTAAACCTGCCCAAACAAACTGCCATACAATACCTAAACCAGTCGTGTGGAAAAACTGTAAACCAAGAAAATGTCGTAAAGGTAAATTCATGGTCGGGTGGATCGAATATCAGATCAAGTACATAAGGATTCATTATAGATTTCATAACATAAACAAGGCTAAGAGGAAGTAAGCAACTGTTTAACACACTTCGAATGATGTATATTCTAGTGTAGCTATATAGAATGCCAAGCCAAGTACATGTAAAAGTCAGCATTCAGACTGATATAGAATGTCTTACTTAAGCTAGAATCGATATGTACTGCTTGGTTGGTACATTTTACTATTTCGAAGTCCTGTACATCTATGTAGAAGAGTGATATAAGGGAGGTAACTTCGAGGAAAAAGGCAAGCGAACTACATTATACAAAGGTAAATGTTAATTTGTATTTTTTTTTAAATTTTAGTTTTGTATTTTTTTTTTTTATTTTAGTTTTGTATTTTTTTTTTTTATTATTTTAGTTTTGTATTTTTATTGTTGCAGTGAGTTGCCGGGACGACTCGCGGTACTGTAGTGTGGTCGGATTACTCCAGATGTGTAGATACGAGTCCTTCCGGAAAAAGTGTTGTCGAACATGTAAAAATATAAACAGCTCTTAGCACTAGATATAATGTTGTTTATTTATTTCAATTTATGTAATGATAAAACTAGAATTCCATTTTGACTTTATCTTAATTGTCTGATTGTATAAACAGTGATATGGTGTTAGAGAGGAAAGACAAATGTATGGTCAAGTGGGTGTAGAAAGTATGACAAGTATGCTGGTTGTATGAGAACCTAATTACCAAGAGAACATGTTTGTTTCGAAAAAGATTTTTGTGATTTGATTTATTTTTGTAAGATGTCGTGAAAGCGTATGGTATGAGTATATGTATAATGCCACGTTGCTAGCAAATTGTATTACGTCCACAATAATAAAAAATGAACAGCATCTTTCAATACAAAGATTGTACAAAAGATACACAAGTGCGTAGTACATTTCAATACATATATCGAATAACACACAGTACAGTCAAATAATGAATTAAACTACGTCATACAGCTATTGCGTCCTTCGGGGACCTGTCAGTGGTACCCGTGCTAATGGCCTTAATTATAGCACCAGAGATAGAGTAACCCTCATGCCTTCACTTACACATGTAAAGAGAGGATTAAGTTGAAGAAAACACACTTTATAGAGACTGATTAGAAAATGAAAGAACAAATTGTACGTGTCCTGTGTTATCTCAGTATATAACCACACTTTTGATCGGATACGAGGTACATATTTACAAAAATAAACTGGGAATAGGAGATGAAAACTACGCTTTTTCGACTTTCTTATATAGTGATCGATTCGTTATTCTAGAACGTGCACTATTTAGACGTTCTGATAACATATGATTAGATCAGATCTGGTTGGAGATCATGTCCATGAACGTACAAGGATTCTACACGATTTACATCAACCTTAAAATGGAGGGTCTTTAGGGAAAAAATAATTTACAAATAAAAAAAATAGGTCAGTTTTGCCCATTTTGAGCCTATTACGTGGAAACTACGCAATAGCTTTGTTTATGTGGTTCGGGGGCATTAGATTAACATATTGCAAAACTGAATCAAAAATAGGTTATTTGTTTCCTAAACAATTATTGAGGAGACAAAAAAAAAATATTTTTCGTAAAGGATGTGTGAATGTGGTTTTTTTTTCATACGTTTTGATAGGGCGAACGATAATGACAGAATGTCACACAGAGTAACATAGGGATGTGTGTTCGATCCCGTATGTATGTACACTTAATTGATTGCATTTTATATTAGAGAATGTTTTGTATTAACCTTCAGACTGTGAATGAATACATCTGGCGGTTAAAACCGACAACTATATTGACCCACTGGTGTTCAGCTTAGAAGTTTTCGGTGATGAAGGTTATTTTTTTTTATTTGCCTGAATGTGAAATGAGCGCATGGTGTTCATTTAGTATCCAATAACTACAATGGTATTATTTCTATTGCGTCGATGCTAGTCAAAACATTTTATACTTAAAATAAATATCATCTTTATGTTTGTTAATTGTTCATAATTCATATTGGTGTTGTGAAAACACATGTATCTAACATTGTCTTAATTTTGAAATCGGAACAAAACAAGGGGGTTTGCCAAGAAGTGATATTAATAGTACTATATCATGTAACTCATTGTCGAATCTAAATTGAGGAAAATGACCAGGGAATTAAAAATTCAAATCTTTTTTTCTATATTAGTATAAATTATATTTTAGTAATTATTTTGTGAATTACATGTCGTGGATTTATTTATAAATACGTTATTTTTCTACTTTCTGTTGTGATATCGAGAAAAAGACAGATGCATCAGACCGCGCTGACCATGCCAATAGAAAATAGACTGACAATCGTTACCTTAATGTGTGATTAAATACATTGAAACCTTAATCGCTTTAGATAAAGCCAAAACGCCATGTACTCGCGTCAAAGCCGTAGATATGTTGTTGTTTCTGGATTACATGTTTTCGCACAATTGTTTGTTTTAATTCATGAGACTGGCAAAGGAGAAGTTCATGAAAAGGTCATCAATCGCTCAGTGCAGAATTCCCTAAACATAAATGGTTACGGTAGCAAGTGTCATGAGATTTGATCTCAAATACATGTAATATACATACTACCTCGAGATATAGATACGATTTTAGACTTTAAACAAGTTATGTTAAAGCTGAGCAAATATAATGTAATTGATATATTACCAAGCACCTTGTGTCGCTTCCTCCAACATGTTCATTAGGTATTCGACGTTTTTACTTTGAAAAAGATTTGTGTTAGAGTGACTTAAAATCATGATTTATCTCCCAGGATGATGATAGGAGACGTCAATATCAGTGACGGCTTTATGAAGATTTTATTATATATAAAACACAGCAGTCTTGCCGATGGAATACGGATTTCGGGGGGAACTTCTGTATGTTAGTTATCAGTCATAGTCTTATTCTTGTGTTTATAGAGAAGTAGGCTACAGGAGGAAATGTAATAACCCGAAGATTATTCTGATATATATGAACTAGCTATACCAGTACCTAGTATATAATATTGTTTTATAATAAACAATGACAAACAATTGTTTTACGTTTAAAACGTTTTGTATATGTTTATATTATGTTGATTAAATTTATGTATGTGTTTTTATATTACATATGTAATTGTGTTTATAAGTGCTTGATGTGATTAAACAATCCAAACATACATATCTCGTGTTTACTTTATCTAGGGTCTCCAACAGGAATATCTCTCAATCGGTGGTTGTCATGTGCTATCCAGATGTAATTCTCCATATTTTTCTAGTTAATTAGATGTCGCTGTACCAAAATGTTTTCTCGTTCACATGATAGCGGGGATGTATGTGGCTTGTATAAGCTTTAGCCTGTTGCTTTATAATCTTTGAATGGTTTTCAATAAAATCATCTTGACTGGAAATATTGAGGAAACAAACTACAATAATATCTTCTTACATTGATACTTTGCCGCATTCAACATATCTGATTGAAGTCTTGGTATTCTGACAAGCCCTTCAAATATCGAAATAAATCCTTTGTTCTTTTAAACGCTTCAGGTAGAGGAGACAGACAGGGAAGCCTGCGAAATGAAAAAGGAGTCTATGATCAGTTAAAAAGAAATAGAACACCGACAAATGATATATATATATATCATACAGATATGATTCTTTCATCTAAATTACCATCTTTTATGAAATTTACGTAAACAATGAATGTCAGGTAAGTTCTTTGATATATTCAACTTCTTGTAAAAATAAAATCATTACGGAAAGAGGCGGAGTTTCACGGAGAGAAACACCCCTAATAGGATAGTTTGTCCTCGAACTGAGCAAGATTATTGTCTACTGGATATCTAATCATCCTCGAAATATCATCTTCAGTATAAATAACGTTGATATGTGTTTGATGATACAAACTTTCAAAGATACATCATTACCTCGACAAAAAATCGACGACATATTTACATCATCTCCTTATGACCTTGACAAAAGAAATCGCCGGCAAATTGCATTTCAAATGAGTTTTCTTGTAGGTAGCCATGTTACTTACACTTTTGTTAGATGAATAGAGTCCTGACCTCTCGGAGTGATACTGTTCTACACATACACCCTTTAGATGTTATCTATTTATACTCACATTGTTTCTGTACACTTGTACTCTCATTGTTTCTGTACACTTGTACTCACATTGTTTCTGTACACTTGTACTCACATTGTTTCTGTACACTTGTACTCACATTGTTTCTGTACTCTTGTACTCTCATTGTTTCTGTACACTTGTACTCTCATTGTTTCTGTACACTTGTACTCGCATTGTTTCTGTACTCTTGTACTCGCATTGTTTCTGTACACTTGTACTCGCATTGTTTCTGTACACTTGTACTCGCATTGTTTCTGTACACTTGTACTCGCATTGTTTCTGTACACTTGTACTCGCATTGTTTCTGTACACTTGTACTCGCATTGTTTCTGTACACTTGTACTCGCATTGTTTCTGTACACTTGTACTCGCATTGTTTCTGTACACTTGTACTCGCATTGTTTCTGTACACTTGTACTCGCATTGTTTCTGTACACTTGTACTCGCATTGTTTCTGTACACTTGTACTCGCATTGTTTCTGTACACTTGTACTCGCATTGTTTCTGTACTCTTGTACTCGCATTGTTTCTGTGCACTTGTACTCGCATTACATTTCAATCTTAACAAACACAAGAAATGCACCACTCTCCCCTGGTCATGGAAGTGTATAAGATAGGTAGCCTACCAAAACATCTAAACAACAAAAAATCAATACATATGATATATATATAAAGGGTAAATCAAATTACTGCCACATGACGTCTTCTTTTAGCATTTCCTTTGTAATTATGCAATTAATATAACATACTGCTTTGACAGATATAGTAATGTTTGATAAGCGAGCTTATTAGAATGGCTGTATCCTTTGAATTACACAACGCACAAACTCTGTTTCTGATTTCAAAACTTTGATATCTTCCAGTTTCAGTAACGAATTTGTGAAATGATATTAAACAATCTTCTATGCAGGTTGAATGTTATTGGAGAATGTCACACGCACCGCCAGTCGGTCTTTTCCGCAGAACCAGATGATGAACCCATCTATTTCCAAAGGCATTCGTCAGGTATATGATCAGCATCACATGGATCTGTTCGTCACATTCCTGAACAATTGACTTCCAACCATCTTTTCTCCTGTGCCAGGCTTAAGGGCATATTCAATAGGTTGTCTATCTCTAGACTGCGACAGAATGATTGAGAGTTTCATAATTTTCAAAAGTTTCTGTACAAAAACCTTTAGTTTAAGGAAGAGCGTCTCAGAACGTGGTATCAGTTATGTTTTTTAGTCAATATGTTTAGCTGAAATATTTGCATGGCCTTCCCGATACGCATTTAGATTTTGATGTACATTATAAGTTACTTGTGCTTGACAATTATTTGCACAATATCACAAACGGAAATATCGACAATGAAAAATAAGAATAAAAAAGAACTATACGCAGATTTGTTCATTTTAGGAAATTTTAAATTTTAGTGTGTTTTTGGACAAAAAGATATTACACTATTATAGATTTTAAGAAATGCAAAGATCAAATCCTTTAAAGTTGGTTTATGGTTAATAGAGTATGAAGATATGGAGAAAGGGGAACACGTGATACATATAATTCAATTAATTAAGCAAATAACACGTATCGTTTTCACACAAAACTCAAAATTTCAACGTAAACTACTTCGGTGTCACATTTCCTCGCTCGAATCATTTCACGTTGTATATATTTAGTCAGTTACACATAAGTCACCTATTCTAATGACTAATTATTGAAAGTAAAGTTTAGAATTGACTATACATATGTATATGGATTGCCAATCAATGTCAAAAGTCAATCACAGTAGAGTGAAAACAGCAGTTATTTGTCAGTCATATGCTGCAGGATTACTAATTGTTGTTCTATTTACGGAACATACAGAATCAGTAAGTTAACAGGAGCGACGTTTCCTGTTTAAGATGTAGCGTTACTTCCATTATAAACTAATTCATACTACTTTCATTTTATCATACATGTTACAATGGTCAATTAATCATCATCACAAATGAATGTGAAAAGTACTTTTGTATTTATTTTCACAGATTAAACATATACTTTAGATTACACTTCCATTCGAGTCGATGCCATTAATTTTTACCTGACATTGTGACTTTGTAGTCTGAATGGGATCGATACGAAAAGTCATCCCTGTATTACTGATCTAGATGGATTGGCGACTTAAGCGAGATTATTTTTGTTAAACACAATTTTGTGAAACTTTTAAGTCATTTTGATAGACCCAATTACATTTGACTTAGTTCCGAATCTATATACTTCAAGCAATGGTTCTAACCAACCACTTTCACAGTGTATCTTGATCTAAAAAGATAACTGTCCTGTCCTTGTGTTCTTCCTCAGTATAATCAACAAGAGTCGTAAAGGAGGCGAATGGGCGCTGAGGTAACAGACGGTTAGTCATGTAGAAGGCGAAGGGACGCTGAGGTAACAGACGGCTAATCATGTAGAAGGCGAATGGGCGCTGAGGTAACAGACGGTTAGTCATGTAGAAGGCGAATGGGCGCTGAGGTAACAGACGGTTAGTCATGTAAAAGGCGAAGGGACGCTGAGGTAACAGACGGCTAATCATGTAGAAGGCGAATGGGCGCTGAGGTAACAGACGGTTAGTCATGTAAAAGGCGAAGGGACGCTGAGGTAACAGACGGCTAATCATATAGAAGGCGAATGGGCGCTGAGGTAACAGGCGGTTAGTCATGTAGAAGGCGAAGGGACGTTGAGGTAACAGACGGTTAGTCATGTAGAAGGCGAATGGGCGCTGAGGTAACAGGCGGTTAGTCATGTAAAAGGCGAATGGGCGCTGAGGTAACAGACGGTTAATCATGTAGAAGGCGAATGGGTGCTGAGGTAACATATGGTAAATCATGAAGAAGGGGTAGGAATGCTAATATGGCGCTGATATCAAAGGGAGGAAATCAGGTGCGAGACTTAGGGGACGCTGAGGTCAATGGAAGTAATTCCAATATACCACACATGGTCATTTCGAAGGCGTATGGGATGCAAAGCTCAGAGAAAGGAGCATGAAACAGTGTACCATTCATGATCTTACCTGGGCATTGAAATCACAAAAAGGCAAAATGGTCCCATGCATAAACTGGAAGTCACAAAAATAGACCTATAGTGAGTTGTAAAAAGCCCACGATTATAAGTATAGCCACGGTCTTCGAAGTGGTATATGAGTGCATGTATTGCAGGTCAGAGAAGGGAATATATAATATGTCCCGTTCATCCATTGGCTCTATTATCATACGTCAGGATAGCAATTATGTGTCGTTAGGTACTATGCACTAAAAAGTTACATCTCCTCATACACTCAAGGTAAATAACACGTCCCTTATTTCATTATTATCTTGTCACACACTTAATGTATAGACCACGCCCCTTATTTTCATTATTATCTTGTCACACACTTAATGTATAGACCACGCCCCTTATTTTCATTATTATCTTGTCACACACTTAATGTATAGACCACGCCCCTTATTTTCATTATTATCTTGTCACACACTTAATGTATAGACCACGCCCCTTATTTTCATTATTATCTTGTCACACACTTAATGTATAGACCACGCCCCTTATTTCATTATTATCGTGTTACACGCTTAATGTATAGACCACGCCCCTTATTTTCATTATTATCTTGTCACACACTTAATGTATAGACCACGCCCCTTATTTTCATTATTATCTTGTCACACACTTAATGTATAGACCACGCCCCTTATTTTCATTATTATCTTGTCACACACTTAATGTACAGAACACGCCCTTTATTTTCATTATTATCTTGTCATACACTTTCTGAATATTTAATCTCTATTTTCAATGATATATAATTCATATAGTCTATTAATGTCATTGGATGATGAGTACAGTGCACACCAACATTACCATGAACGTCCTGCTATTACCCGTGACCAACGCTGATATTTGTTCGTGATCGTAGCTGTACAATTACGCAGTTAATACAGCCAAAAAATCAACTTCCTTTATATTTGATGCACTGCATTAAACACCTCAGATGAGACCTCCAATAAATCGAGTGAAACATGGGAGGTAACATTATTCTAGGATTTAATTTGATCTAGCTATTTTCATTATTGTACGATAAATAAATGAATGTTTCATATAGAGCGAAAAACCTTATTTGACCCTGTGTTTAGTATCTGCATAAACAAGGGTACAAATCACCTTCCTACACACAATGATGATTGCTCCCTACAGTTATTGTTCAGGTAACGGAATGCGTGAAGGCCGGATTCTGACATTGACTGTCAGTCTTTATCAATGATATGCTTGTCGTTAGTGGGCTTTGTACATACTACGCACTTCATGGCCAATATGTGACGAGAATAGTAAAACTGATTGGAATAACATATAAACTAATGTTCCAAAGACACAAGTAAACATACCTGGACGTCAGGTAAAGTCACAGTCATCAGAGAAGTCTTTCCAAGAAAAAATAGTTCAAAGGTGAGTTATTCCGACTTTATTTTTCTCTTTTTAATCATTAATGCATGTTTATTTGAATCAACAATTCCTTTATTTCTTTCATTTTCTCATTCCTTTCATAGCCATTATTCGCAAGTGATCTATACTATTTTAACCATGATTTCTAGAATATCATCTACAAGCCATTCAATGTAAATTTTTATTCTATTTGATGTAAATTTAGAGACTCGATACGATATTTGATGAATGTGGTAGAGAATGAATATGATGTTTGCTGTAAATATAGAAACTGCTTATTATATTTGACGTAGACATAGAGGCTGTTATGATGTATAGAGACAGTTTGGTGTAGAAATAAGCCTGTATATAGTATTTAACTATTGTATGTAGTGAATGAATATGAGGGCTATTTCAGGTATTAGAGATGAGGCTATATATGATTTACATACTCAGTTGGTATGTTTGATTGGTTTATCATTCATTTCATATTTTTTTTTATATAACAGGCCTATCTTGTTTTACACATTGTCTCGAATTTTCTGTGAATAGTTCTTTCCGGACACTCGATTGGAAACAGATGACCACTGCCAGAAGGGGAACACACGGTGTACACCAGATTAACGGTTTAATATAATTCATAAAAACATAATCTTGGAGACGATCACTTGTCCAGAGGCTGTGATCAGTGGGGCGTGACGCTGACCACTGCACTGACTGCCTCCCTAAGGAACTACAGACACACAGATGGCCTCAACTAAGTATATAGACTGACCAACGTCATGGTCAAATCGGATGTAACGAACGATGTCTTCCCGATGGTAAGTAGTCATATGTTGAATAACAATTTTTCTTGAATTGAATTTAAGTGTTACGTTTAAAAGAATGTTTTTCTTAACATCAAATTTACGTCAAAGTATATTTTACATTAAAGTTCAAACATGATTTAGCCGATACACCGGGTATTAGTTTGAGGGGGCGCAATCGGAAGCAAACTGCATGAGTCAACAAAACTAAATTTACATGCTTTATAATATCAATATAAAAAGGAACGCAACATTTTTCTTGTTTTCAAATTGGGTTGTCAAAACAGAAATAATTTGAAATCAAAACGACAGACATGTTACATTATATATTCGTTACTTTCACATTCATTTCTACTAACTACACATTATATTTTCTTTATTAAGATATTATCCATTAATGCGAATGATTGCCAGTGTTGCTTTCAGCAGACCATTGCGCCACACATTTCTAATTTCCTTATTATGTCCCTTTAATTAGGGATTTGAATTGATTAGAGTTCATGGCTTGATACAAGAATTTAAATCTTCTCCGTTTGTTGGATTTATCGTTCCTATAATAGTACGTGTGATGAAGTTGATTTCCTCTCCCGTCACCTGTCATGCCCAAGGACGCAACTACGACATCCCTACATTCTTTATAACGACCTTGGCTATCCGAGGTTTAACTAAAGCTCCGCTTATTATTGATTAGGTGCTGGAATCAACCATAACTAATATTATCTATCAATGTATATATTCTATATCTACCTGGAAGCTTATTATCATTATTGTTTCTCGGATTTTACTTATACAATGACGGCCTTTCGGCGGACGATTTCTGCTGGAAGCTAGCGAGCCTGCATACATGTATTATTGAACTGTATTAGAGATGTGTCAGTAGACCCGAGGGGCACAGTGCCTGGTCAAGCGTGCAAATTGTATTTCAAACGATTTTATTGATACCATCGATAAAAGTTTATGTAACTTTTGTGATTTTTCTTCCCATTCAAATGTGGAATATATGTATATGTACATGATTTTTATATAATACATTACAAAATGATGTACTGGGCCAAGTTCTCAAACAAAGCCAAAACATAATGATAATGTAACGCTCGACGTTTTACTTCATTCTTGTTGAATTCGAGAAGAATGTTTAAGGCAACGTAATGTCCATTTTAACACAGTATTAAGTATATGTACGAAGGCTGAATGATAAGGTAGCAGTAAACAGTTAATTTGCATTTTTCCTGAAATTATTTGTCATGTTTGAGATATACAGGTATAGCAGATAGGTTATGAAAAATACATCATTACATGTATATATATTTATAAACTGTATAACAATTACATTAACAGTAGAGAGATGAAATTTGTGTAAAAAAAAATTCCTCTGATTTCTGACATTTGATTGTCATGGTTACCTACTGAAAAAATGCTAAAAATGCAAAAATACTGCTAATTCCAATCCAACACTACAACTTTCTAGGAGAAATTTAATTCTAATCACCTATCTTACAATCAACAACACTGTCATGGTAACAAAGTACTTACATTTCAGCAAATTCCAACTCGGAAATTCTTCATAACATGACCACATGTAAACACTATGAAAATTTCACTTCCTGTAAAGCTAGTTTTTGGTGCGTAGACACAGATTCGAGACTGCCCAAATAGTAATCTCCAACACAAAGCTAAAATATTATCCTGAAAAAAATGAAACCCCACATTGTCCACTTTAACATGACAGGACCAATTTTAGCAAGGATTTTTTTTTCATTTTTAATTAAAACCTTTATAATGGGGTAATCTAATGAGCAAAAAAATCACCCATGGCCACACCGAGAAACTGTGTACTGCTACCTAAGATGTGAGCCTTGTATTGAAGACGTTAAGCAGGGATGTCCTTTTTTACGGCTGTATCCCTGAAGACTGGTATCATTTGGTCAGTTAATGTTGAAGATGTAGCACTCTAAAGTAAATAAGGCAAGTGACTTTTATCAAAATTGACGAAATCGCTAAAAGATAAGCGATTGAATATTTGTATGAGAAAGGTCCAATACCTAAGAATACCCATACTGATATGATAGCAGTTTAGCCTAACAGGCAAAACCGTAGAGGTCACGCCCGTCTTGGAAGGTCTGTCACTGTTGCAACCCCAGAAATGGTCAACAGAGTCCACGATATTGTTATGACTGACAGGCGAGTTACAGATATATAACCAGTACAGTTTGGATTTCACTGGAAAGAGTACATTCCATTCTTAGGGAAGATCGTGCAATGAGAAAGCCCTCACTCATTGGGTACCAAGACTTCTGACAGTTCATCAATAGCACACCAGGTAGATTTTGTCGCGAGCTAATATAAACTTTTAGAGGCAATTCCTGTTAACTTTTTGCAGAGGTTTGTGACTATGGATGAAACATAGGCCCATCATTTCACCCAAGAGGCCAAACAATAAGATAAAAATGAAAAGCATTCTGGTTCATTCCCGTCAAAGAAGGCAAAGACTGTCCATTAGCTTGAAAGGTTATGGTCGCGGTTTTCTGTGATGCTGATGGTATTCTGATAGTCTACAAAAGAGACAAACAATCAATTGCACATACCATGCATCACTTCTTAGACAGTTAAGAGAAAAGGTTAAACTCAAGCGCCTCGGAAAACGCAGTAAAGGTGTATTGTTCCACCAGAACAATGACCCTGTTCACAAGTATGTCATTGCCATGTCTGACATTAACAATTGTGGTTTTAAATTGATTGGGCATCCGCCTTATTCGCATGATCTCTTTCCATCAGACTTGCATCTATATCAAAAATTGAAAAATACAATTTCCGGTACCAACTTTCGGTCAGATGATGACGTCATGCATGCATTTGAGGACTCTCTGAACGGCCAAGAAAAAGTCTTCTTTAAAAGAGGCATTGAGGCCCTTAAACATCGCTGGCAGAAGTGTATAGATACTTTAGTGGATTATAATGAAAAGTAATGCAATATGTCCGCCAAAAGTCAAACCTTACATACGAGGCTCACAACTGATCTATAAGCCCTCTTATAACTGTTACAGCACTAAATACATATATCAATGTTAACAACATACCTGATATCAGTTTTAGTATGGGTTGATATGGTAAAAACGAGTACTGATAGAGAAACAAATGATAACCGAAACTAATATACTATGTGTATTTCTGTTCTACAGGACATATGGGGGAAATGTGACACGCATAATGTGACGACATCACAAACACAGCTTCCGGTCAGTGGGTGGAAAAGAGCCTTCCGGAAGCCACAGAACAAATTCCGGTGGTACATCATCATCGGAATCAGCGTTCTCATCACATTGTTGGTCGTGGTTGTCATCGCTCTGGCTATTCATTTCACAAACAACACCGACAGTCCAGGTTGGTTTAATTAACAACTTACCTACCAACCTGCTTCTTTTTTTATAAATGCAGATCATATCTATAGCACAAATCTCTCCACCTGGTTAAACATAAATTACAAACACCTCATGTGAAATGGCTCGCGTCACCACTAACAAGCACGTTCCGACTAACGATACAAAAACGTACAGAATTAGCTTCTTCCCATTTGTGAAGGGTTCTTACACTTAATGTAGTATTAATTATAATAATACCGAAATTCATTGAAATAGAGTCATAAATAGCCGAGACATGTATGTACTTTAAATTCATTCCAATATGTGTTTATACCGATTTGCCTAGCACACCAATATGGGTTATTGTTTGGCCAATACTTTGATAGAGGTGTGCTAGAGTCGCATCGGATACTACAAACATCGCACTCGGAAGACTAGTAAAGATTCAGCTTGGTGAAAGTTGGATCACAAGTCAGGAGGGAAGCCTTTGCGAGTTTCTAATCAATGAACTGTTAAGATTTCAAAGACCGTACCCCGAATCATAATTCCGAAGTGGTTGGGAAAGAGAACTCCTCTCATGTTGAAGCAATGGGCTTGTTCCGAATCGAGATAAAGGGACCCTGAGATGACCCTTATGTCAGACCATATACACTAGACAAAAACGTGTTATAACCTTCGGTCGGTTTGTACCTTGTTAGAGCTAGCGTACCTTAGAAGTGTAGCCGAGTCCACCTGAACTAAGCTGCTTTTTGCTGTAAATTATTCGCAATCAAGTGTACACGACACACGACATGTCGACTTGATTCACCGGACTGTAAAGTTCCGCAGTAATCGTCGGCACGCACCACACCTTTATATTATCTTAATGACTGTTAATACAGAAGAGAAGAATGATTCTATGTCTGTGAACTGTTCAGATTCCAGCGAGATGAAGGTACATAATTTATGTTGTTTAAGTGTATATTGTAGGTTTATCATGATACGAAATTTTCAACAACACTTTTAAATAAATAATTACGTGAACACAATGATATATGTATGACATTGGATGTATGTTATATTTTGTAGAGAGCCTTGCTGCTGCACCCATCAGAGATGGAGACGGTACGTTTACCATATATCTGATCTATTCTGTTCCATGCGTGTACCTCGACAAATTGAAGTCGTGATGTTCAACAATACCGAGTGTTATACACATTAACATGAACAAAATCGTGTTCAATTCTTTTTACTTTCACTTTCCATACAGATTAAATGATTAGATAAATGGGGAGACATTGTTAGGTTTATCCAGTCTCTGTCAACAATAGGGAGACCATATTATGTTTATCTAGTATCTGTCAACAATAGGGAGACCATATTATGTTTATCTAGTATCTGTCAACATGAGGGAGACAATGTTAGGTTTATCTAGTCTCTATCAACATTAGGGAGACAATGTTAGGTTTATCTAGTCTCTGTCAACAATAGGGAGACCATATTATGTTTATCTAGTCTCTGTCAACATGAGGTAGACAATGTTAGGTTTATCCAGTCTCTGTCAACAATAGGGAGACCATATTATGTTTATCTAGTATGTTAGGTTTGTCTAGTCATCAACATGAGGTAGACAAAGTAAGGTTTATCTAGTCTCTATCAACATTAGGTTAGGTTTATCCAGTCTCTGTCAACATTAGAGAGACAATGTTAAGGTTATCCAGTCTGTCTACATGAGGAAGACAATGTTAGGTTTGTCTCGTCTCTGTCTACATGAGGGAGACAATTTTAGGTTTATCTAGTCTCTATCAACATGAGGTAGACAAAGTAAGGTTTATCTAGTCTCTATCAACATTAGGGAGACAATGTTAGGTTTATCTAGTCTCTTTTAACATTAAGGAGACAATGTTAGGTTTATCTAGTCTCTGTCAACAATAGGGAGACAATGTTAGGTTTGTCTAGTCTCTATCAACATGAGGTAGACAAAGTAAGGTTTATCTAGTCTCTATCAACATTAGGGAGACAATGTTAGGTTTATCTAGTCTCTGTCAACAATAGGGAGACAATGTTAGGTTTATCCAGTCTCTGTCAACATTAGAGAGACAGTAAGGTTTATCAAACATTAGTAAGGTTTATCTAGTCTCTGTCAGCATTAGGAAGACAGTAAGGTTTATCTAGTCTCTGTCAACATTAGGGAGACAGTAAGGTTTATCTAGTCTCTGTCAGCATTAGGAAGACAGTAAGGTTTATCTAGTCTCTGTCAACATTAGGGAGACAGTAAGGTTTATCTAGTCTCTGTCAACATTAGGGAGACAAGGTTAGGTTTATCTAGTCTCTATCAACATTAGGGAGACAATGTTAGGTTTATCTAGTCTCTGTCAACAATAGGGAGACAATGTTAGGTTTGTCTAGTCTCTATCAACATGAGGTAGACAAAGTAAGGTTTATCTAGTCTCTATCAACATTAGGGAGACAATGTTAGGTTTATCCAGTCTCTGTCAACATTAGAGAGACAATGTTAAGTTTATCCAGTCTGTCTACATGTGTTAGGTTTGTCTCGTCTCTGTCTACATGAGGGAGACAATTGTAGGTTTATCTAGTCTCTATCAACATGAGGTAGACAAAGTAAGGTTTATCTAGTCTCTATCAACATTAGGGAGACAATGTTAGGTTTATCTAGTCTCTTTCAACATTAGGGAGACAATGTTAGGTTTATCTAGTCTCTGTCAACATAAGGGAGACAATGTTCGGTTTATCTAGTCTCTATCAACATGAGGTAGACAAAGTAAGGTTTATCTAGTCTATATCAACATGAGGGAGACAATGTTAGGTTTATCTAGTCTCTGTCAACATTAGGGAGACAATGTTAGGTTTATCCAGTCTCTGTCAACATTAGAGAGACAATGTTAAGTTTATCCAGTCTGTCTACATGAGGAAGACAATGTTAGGTTTGTCTCGTCTCTGTCTACATGAGGGAGACAATTTTAGGTTTATCTAGTCTCTATCAACATGAGGTAGACAAAGTAAGGTTTATCTAGTCTCTATCAACGTGAGACAATGTTAGGTTTATCTAGTCTCTTTTAACATTAAGGAGACAATTCTAGGTTGACCTAATCTCTATAAATATCAGAGAGACACATTTCGGTTTATTCAGACTCTGTTAAAATTTAGAAGATAATTCTAGCTGTATGTACTCTCCATTACCATGTGTTCTGATATCACGTGCTGTTATTTCGGACGTTGATTTACTGACGACTACTGAGATATCTACACCAAATGTATGTTTGTTTGACAGATAATGGCGGATGTCAATGTAAATGCCATAAATTTTGTGACGTTTATATACATTATCAAATTTATTTCTGCAATTTGTATTTCTATAAGAATAATACTGCTGTATGAATGAATCTTAATTACTACAAGAGGGGGCATGGTTAACCTTACCTTATGACTGTGTCCTATTGTACGGTTGTGGTGTCTGTCCTTCCATGTCCTTGCTGTAAAGAGTACTTCCTACCGTTAGATTGCTGTAAAGTGTATGTCCTACAATGTGATTGTTGTAGAGTGTACGTCCTACTTTGTGGTTGTTGTAGAGTGTACGTCCTACTCTGTGGCTGTTGTAGAGTGTCTGTCCTACAATGTGATTGTTGTAGAGTGTACGTCCTACTCTGTGGTTGTTGTAGATTGTACGTCCTACTCTGTGGTTGTTGTAGATTGTCTGTCCTACAATGTGATTGCTGTAAAGTGTCTGTCCTACAATGTGGTTGTTGTAGAGTGTCTGTCCTACTCTGTGGTTGTTGTAGAGTGTCTGTCCTACTCTGTGGTTGTTGTAGAGTGTACGTCCTACTCTGTGGTTGTTGTAGATTGTACGTCCTACTCTGTGGTTGTTGTAGAGTGTACGTCCTACTCTGTGGTTGTTGTAGAGTGTACGTCCTACTCTGTGGTTGTTGTAGATTGTACGTCCTACTCTGTGGTTGTTGTAGAGTGTCTGTCCTACTCTGTGGTTGTTGTAGATTGTACGTCCTACTCTGTGGTTGTTGTAGATTGTACGTCCTACTCTGTGGTTGTTGTAGAGTGTCTGTCCTACTCTGTGGTTGTTGTAGAGTGTACGTCCTACTCTGTGGTTGTTGTAGAGTGTACGTCCTACTCTGTGGTTGTTGTAGATTGTCTGTCCTACTCTGTGGTTGTTGTAGAGTGTATGTCCTACTCTGTGGTTGTTGTAGAGTATCTGTCCTACTCTGTGGTTGTTGTAAAGTGTACGTCCTACTCTGTGTGTTGTTGTAGAGTTTCTGTTTTAGAAAGAAAACTAGCATATTAATTATATATTACACATGAACGTGATGTAAAATAATTACTTTTAACCAACAGATTCAAGGCTTACTGACCAATCGACTTCAGGTACAGCGTCGATGATGTCGCCCACAACAACATCAAGTGAAAATGTAACAGACGTCATGCAACATACTTCGAGTGCACCGACGGCTAGCACAATCAACAGTACGTCTCCAGAACCAAATGGCATCACATCTTTTGATCCAGCAACGCCGAACAATATGTCTGGTATCACTTCTCCGTCCAGCCCAAGTACGTCTTTTTACACCTACAAAGTACACTGGCATTATAAAAGATATACGTTGTGCCAGATAGGAAACACGACGAAAATACTAAGATAATCCATATAATTACTTGCCATTAGTCCAAACCTTGTACAATCGTTTGTAAAAGAGCGGTTGACACCAAGGGAATATCAAGTCTGTAGATATAAACGTTCTATTGACATTGTCACAAAGCATCCCATTGGTACACGTGTACTTAAAAATCTGTGGGATGCCATCGCTATTCTTGTCTATTTGAGAAGAATACACACATACTATATACCACTTCAGATAACCTATGAAAGATCGTATTGACATTGAGACAGACTAGGTCTGCTAACTTTGGTGTTGCTACAGAAGACATAAAGTCCTAATAGAAAGCTAACCCAATACAACTGTACAACTCGCACCCAATATCTATACGTCTACTCTTCCAGATTTTGTAAAAGCCGTGAAATCAAATTAAAACCATACCTATAAATGAGATACTAAGGTAACTTCGAAGCGTATAATCGAGTTATTTAGCTTTAAAGAGGTGGTATTCCTTACTGTCTGTGAAACAACTGAGCAAGACTTGGACTGATGACCGTTATCTGGTAACTATTCATAGTCTTTCCCCTGTCGTGGTTCGCTTTCGCCTTTTCGTCCGATCCATGGTACATTGCCGGTGATACACCAAGATCCAAAGATTCGTTTAGAGCTGCTATTTCATCAGGTCAAACCGTGAAGCTCCTAAAAAATTACAACGGAGTAAACTGGCTCGGATGACTATGCTTTTCGTCCAAGCGACTGCAACTGTTTGGAGTTTTTAGTGGAGAGGGAGGGACCTTCGCGAAAAGACTATTGCCAGAATAAGGAGACATATATGTCTAATGTATTGGTACCGGTACCATCTTACTATTAGACACAGACGGAATCTATTGATCAATGAACCAATATATATTGTCTAGGACAATCCCCCCTGTCGAGGAAAGCATCCTTTACGTATAGTACGATATTTCAGTAATTTCAAACCAACAGATAAATCCGCAACTACCCAGATGTGATCTTAATTTCAGGGTTAACCTTGGTGGCCTCCGACCTTACCGTCGAGAATAAGAAATTAACCTTGACCTGTGAGGCTATGAATATGGACGGATGGAGTGACCTTTACATTCTACGTCATGGCAACGATAATCCCAGGACTGTTGGTACAGTAAAGGCAGGATTTCAGTACCCATCTGTGTCTATCCTGGACGCAGATTTCAGTTCCCAAATTTCATACAAGGACGATGCTATCGTTTTTGTGTTGGAGTCCGACATTCCCTACTGTTCCAAGGAGGCCAATTATACGTGCATTGTCAGGGCACTTCCGGGGACCTTCACAGCAGTCACAGAGGTCAAAGGTAAATATTTCAATATATCAGTCATACAACTGTTAACGTAATACGAAGGCGATTGTGCAAGATCTGTATCTGATGTTATGTGGAATTAAATGCTATATTGGCTAATCTACAAACATTTTAAAACACTGGTCATGTGCTCTATTTATTATTCTGTAGACAATGAATATCTCACGACACTGACCACTGATTCTATTTGTTATACTTTCTGTGTAAAATAAATATTCTGAAACACTGCCATATATTCCGTTTGTTATGCTGTATTAAGATAGAAGTAGTATTTTGGAATCTTCCACATTTTGAATTAAAGTTTTTTGTTTTGTCAACTATGTAAAAACGCACGCAAATATGGAACCAAATCTTCCGCAGAGAAATGAATGATGCACTTGCAGTACAATGGCAATTTCATAACGGTTTCTAGATAAGCTTTATAAATCCTAAAATCGTAGTCACGTATAAACAACATCTTTAATGCAATGGTTAGATAACTTGAATTAATAAAACAAACAAATTAATACACACGTTGAAATAAAGATATTCCATGTGCCCTTCGGAATACATCTATAATATACGTCGAGTGTATGCGGGTGTACTCAAGACAGTTACGTGATATGAGATATGTTGAAAATTCTTCGCACGCACAATTCCAAGGGAGGTAACCACTGTAAAAACGATACCAATCATTTCTTGATAGTACTGCACTATTTTATCATTTAAATAATTTGAATACACATATAACATTTCGGATGGAAACATTACTCGGGATATAATTGTGATGCATTTAAATAACTGCAAAGTTTTATTTGATCCTTTCTCTAATTCTTGTGAATGAAATACGGTTCAAGTCACAGAGTCGCGATGTTCCACGTCGAATGTTTCTTGTTTGTCTTACATTTCAGTAAAACAAATAGAACCTACGATTAGTGTACCCAAGTCGGTTATTGCGGAGAGGAATATAACATTGCAGTGCTCTGCCGACATCCATGGACAAAGAGGCAACCTCAGGTGGAAAATTCGTCCCCCTGGCATGCAGTCTTTCTATGACTTAAATACTACTCCTGTCACGTCACAAAAGTTTTCAAACTGCTCAACATCCATCAACAGCACCTTAATATTCCTCCCGAAAGCCTCCGACAATGGATCACACTTCCGGTGCGTCATTGAAGGAGCTGACGGTGCAATAGACAATGCTGATTACCCTAAAACGGATGTAGAGTTCCACGTCATCCCGGGTAAGTAAAAAGATAAGAAGTTAGAAAGACGATAACGGAATTGTATGAATAAGTAAGCATGTCAGGTGGGGCACTGCTAAATCTGCTGACCACTTGATTAATTGGCGGCGTTATGTCTTTGCAGCAGGTCATGCAGCACGGAGACTGCATTTTTGAATTAGTGGCAGTATTCAATAGCAAACTAGAAAGTTATCGGACAATCTATTTTAATGGTAAACATATGCCGATTTATCAAACCATAAACTGTCAATTGTCTGATTGTGTTCATGTGACGGCGAACTAAACACATACATACATTACTTACGAATTTAGTACTGTAGCCCTAAATAGGATTTTTTTCGCACAAAATTCAAACGGGAGTAATTCCATGAATTACATGCATTATAAATATATTAAACAAAACGGAATTTTACTCTCGAAGGACCTAGATATTTTCACCGTGGTATTATCACGTGTCCGTGTAATGTCGTAGATAATTATAGTAGATAGGAGGTTATTGATCAGTTTTGCAGAAGGCAGATCTTGACATTTCAGTGTTAGGACACTTTTAGTTGACCATTGATTGGCCATAATTTACGAACTTTCTACCTTTATTCATTACGGTTTAATTCCTTTCACTTTGCGTTCAGTGTATTAAAACTTGTTTCTCTTTCCCAGCAACGTTCTGTGATGATAAACCTGCGTACACCATTCACACACATCCCTACTCGCCATGTAATCTCGTCATCTACTGTTTCCAGACCGGCCCACTCGTGTACGAAATTAACTGTGATCCGGGCACCTGCTATGACAAAGAAAGGACGAAATGTGTCTAATCACTTGCAATGTGATCGGAAAGGGTTGTGCTTTCTGTATTTCTGGAGTTTTACAACAACAGAGAACCTTTGATTTCAGCGCTTTACAGAGAATGCAGTCAATGAAATGAAATCCAATTTTTGTGTATCCTAAACTAGTCCCCAAGATTTTTGTGTTTTTACTGACACTAACGTTTGATCAGGAACGTGAACTGGTGAAAGGTTCCTATTGTAACACAAGAACACATACCCGTGCACTTCAAAGCAAAGTCTATTATTTGTTGTTCAATCGTGGTACTGGGTCTAGAATTTAGTCATGTCTAACTTCTAGAATTACCTGTATCACTATCTAGACTTTTTCTGTCAGTTCATATATTGTTTGCATTTTTCTTTTACTTTTTCTCCAGTCATTTTGATGTGGTCCTTAAAATTTCAGGTGTTTGGCGCCGAAGTACATGGATCAAGCTATTTCACACCTAAATTTATAGCAATCACTACTATCCTAAAAGGGAATTCGTGTGAAACATCACAACGTGAAATGTGTGGCAACTTACGCAAACTTTATATAATAAATCAATTAAATATCAAAATGAAACATTTTCGCTTTCATTGTCGTAGGTAACATGTATATGGAATGGTTATATGAAGTATGGAATGTCAGATCTGGTCATAGTGACCAGGTATGGAATGTCAGATCTGGTCATATTGACCAGGTATGAAATGTCAGATCTGGTCATAGTGACCAGGTATGGAATGTCAACTCTAATCATAGTGACCAGGTATGGAATGTCAGATCTGGTCATAGTGACCAGGTATGAATGTCAGATCTTGTCATAGTGACCAGGTATGAATGTCAGATCTGATCATAGTGACCAGGTATGGAATGTCAACTCTGATCATAGTGACCAGGTATGGAATGTCAACTCTGATCATAGTGACCACGTATGGAATGTCAACTCTGATCATAGTGACCAGGTATGGAATGTCAGACCTGGTCATAGTGACCAGGTATGGAATATCAGACCTGGTCATAGTGACAAGGTATGGAATGTCAGATCTGGTCATAGTGACCAGGTATGGAATGTCAGATCTGGTCATAGTGACCAGGTATGGAATGTCATATCTGGTCATAGTGACCAGGTATGGAATGTCAGATCTGGGCATATTGACCAGGTATGGAATGTCAGATCTTGTCATAGTGACAAGGGTCATAGTGACATAGTGACCAGGTATGGAATGTCAGACCTGGTCATAGTGACCAGGTATGGAATATCAGACCTGGTCATAGTGACCAGGTATGGAATGTCAGATCTGGTCATAGTGACCTCGTATGGAATGTCAACTCTGGTCATAGTGACCAGGTATGGAATGTCATATCTGGTCATAGTGACCAGGTATGGAATGTCAACTCTGATCATAGTGACCAGGTATGGAATGTCAGATCTGGTCATAGTGACCTCGTATGGAATGTCAACTCTGGTCATAGTGACCAGGTATGGAATGTCAGATCTGGTCATAGTGACCAGGTATGGAATGTCATATCTGGTCATAGTGACCAGGTATGGAATGTCAGATCTGGGCATATTGACCAGGTATGGAATGTCAGATCTGGGCATATTGACCAGGTATGGAATGTCAGATCTTGTCATAGTGACCAGGTATGGAATGTCAGATCTGGGCATATTGACCAGGTATGGAATGTCAGATCTTGTCATAGTGACCAGGTATGGAATGTCAAATCTTGTCATAGAGACCAGGTATGGAATGTCAGATCTGATCATAGTGACCAGGTATGGAATGTCAGATCTGGTCATAGTGACCAGGTATGGAATGTCATATCTGGTCATAGTGACCAGGTATGAATGTCAACTCTGATCATAGTGACCAGGTATGGAATGTCAGATCTGGTCATAGTGACCAGGTATGGAATGTCAGATCTGGTCATAGTGACCAGGTATGGAATGTCAGATCTGGTCATAGTGACCAGGTATGGAATGTCAGATCTGGTCATAGTGACCAGGTATGGAATGTCAACTCTAATCATAGTGACCAGGTCTGGAATGTCAGATCTGGTCATAGTGACCAGGTATGGAATGTCAACTCTAATCATAGTGACCAGGTATGGAATGTCAGATCTGGTCATAGTGACCAGGTATGGAATGTCAGATCTGGTCATAGTGACCAGGTATGGAATGTCAACTCTAATCATAGTGACCAGGTATGGAATGTCAGATCTGGTCATAGTGACCAGGTATGGAATGTCAACTCTAATCATAGTGACCAGGTATGGAATGTCAGATCTGGTCATAGTGACCAGGTATGGAATGTCAGATCTGGTCAAGTGACTGGAATCATATAGTGACCAGGTATGGAATGTCAGATCTGGTCATAGTGACCAGGTATGGAATGTCAGATCTGGTCATAGTGACCAGGTATGGAATGTCAACTCTAATCATAGTGACCAGGTATGGAATGTCAGATCTGGTCATAGTGACCAGGTATGGAATGTCAACTCTAATCATAGTGACCAGGTATGGAATGTCAGATCTGGTCATAGTGACCAGGTATGGAATGTCAGACCTGGTCATAGTGACCAGGTATGGAATGTCAGATCTGGGCATATTGACCAGGTATGGAATGTCAGACCTGGTCATAGTGACCAGGTATGGAATGTCAGATCTGGTCATAGTGACCAGGTATGGAATGTCAGAATGTCATAGTGACCAGGTATGGAATGTCATCATAGTGACCAGGTATGGAATGTCAACTCTGGTCATAGTGACCAGGTATGGAATGTCAGATCTGGTCATAGTGACCAGGTATGGAATGTCATATCTGGTCATAGTGACCAGGTATGGAATGTCAGATCTGGTCATAGTGACCAGGTATGGAATGTCAGATCTGGTCATAGTGACCAGGTATGGAATGTCAGATCTGGTCATAGTGACCAGGTATGGAATGTCAGATCTGGTCATAGTGACCAGGTATGGAATGTCAGATCTGGTCATAGTGACCAGGTATGGAATGTCAGATCTGGTCATAGTGACCAGGTATGGAATGTCAGATCTGGTCATAGTGACCAGGTATGGAATGTCAGATCTGGTCATAGTGACCAGGTATGGAAGGTCAGATCTGGGCATAGTGACCAGGTATGGAATGTCAGATCTTGTCATAGTGACCAGGTATGGAATGTCATAGTGACCAGGTATGAATGTCAGATCTTGTCATAGTGACCAGGTATGGAATGTCAGACCTGGTCATAGTGACCAGGTATGGAATGTCAACTCTAATCATAGTGACCAGGTATGGAATGTCAACTCTGATCATAGTGACCAGGTATGGAATGTCAGATCTGGTCATAGTGACCAGGTATGGAATGTCAGATCTGGTCATAGTGACCAGGTATGAATGTCAGATCTGGTCATAGTGACCAGGTATGGAATGTCAGATCTGGTCATAGTGACCAGGTATGGAATGTCAGATCTGGTCATAGTGACCAGGTATGGAATGTCAGATCTTGTCATAGTGACCAGGTATGGAATGTCAACTCTGATCATAGTGACCAGGTATGGAATGTCAGACCTGGTCATAGTGACTAGGTATGGAATATCAGACCTAGTCATAGTGACCAGGTATGGAATGTCAGATCTGGGCATATTGACCAGGTATGAATGTCAGATCTGGTCATAGTGACCAGGTATGGAAAGTCAAACCTGGTCATAGAGAGCACACGTCATAATATTTAGTCTACCTCTTTACACTTTTACCGCCTTTAGAACAATGATATATTTCGATACTCTTGAACCACAAATCCCTTCTCATATCTTTAGCTATCAGTGTGTCACTCCTTGATTTTCCTCAATAGGAATACCCAATACCATACGACACTGGACTATGGACAACTGTTTCCGGTAAATCTTGTCTTTCAACATTGTTGTTTAGTCCATCTTCTGGAATGCGCTGTTCTTCAGCTCTACAGCATAAAGTCTTATTATACCTTTGCAGATGTCTATTCTTAACAAATTGTTTGATGTTGACCAAAATTAAGATGGCGATAGCTATAGATATGAGAATAAGCCACATCACAATGACCGCGTCAGAATTTAGATTGTGCTTTCTATTGTCGTAAGGAGTAGCGTTCTCCAGTCGGACATTTCTGGTATAATCCACGCCAAAAAGTGCTGCAAAACAACAAAATGTCAGTAAACTCTTGAAGCTTACAGAACTTAAATATGTTATCTGGCCTCATACAATTCTACAGACATAAAATATATCAATTACGGATAGCTTTACTATTGCTTCATTTCACTCCTCTCAATAATAGTATCCTTACCCTTCATAAAATGTGATACAGATAACCATAATAAGATGATAATAGGATGATTTGTTATCATGCTGCTATGACCAAGACATGTGACAAACTCATCAACAATATTCAGACATATATAACAACTTCCATGAATATGTAAGCAGATATAGACTGAATACATAATGTTAACTTTTACTTACGAGACTTCAATCCTAGTGACAGTCCCTTACATTGGTAAGAACCAGGGGAGTTGAAACAAGTTCCCTGAGTGCAGGCGGAGGAGTTCAGGCATTCATCAATGTCTGACAGAAAAAATATATTCTTTAAAGTTTCGATAACTTGATTCAAATGAAAGCTTTCTAAATTGCTTGTACCGACTAATCTATTGTTATAGCTAGGTATACTACAAGAATTTTCCGAGTGGCAACGAATATGTCATTCGGATAAAAAAGAAAAGAAACCACCAATGTGTGGACAAAGTTTGAAGTAAAGAGTGAAAAAACAAATAAAAGAAAGTACACAGAAAATAAGGTCAGGTCCCAATTGCTCAACTGTTATAGTTAACAAGTGGTCAACGAAAAAAATTATAGTTGCCATTGAAAAAAAAAGAATTTAAATGTGACAGCCAGGGTCAGGTGTTGTGGAAAGTCTGTTCCATAGAGACATTTTTACCCGTAAATACAGTGATTCCCATTGAAATGAGATCGTACAACAACCCTGAAAGTTCTTCCTATAATCTACATCAAATAACTTCCTCAAACCCATGTTTTTTTTAACTGTTCCCGCCAACAGTCAATCAAACCATCTTATCAGAAGCCATCACCGAAATATCAATATTGGAAATAAATCCTAGAATATTGAACAAACTACGACAAGTAAACACTATTGGTGGGAAGCAGAAATGTTCATTTTACTCTGAGAGTGGATAAAGATCACACACAATCAATGCAATCCATATATCAATATAGGGATGGAAAAAAACACTCGACAGCGTGGGATAAAGGATTGTACAAAAGACACACAGGTGATTGAACAGCATCAAACAACTGTTTTGTCCTTCTTGAACTCATCGGGGATGCTTTCAGTCAAAATTTAAGTTAATTTTTAAACACTTTTAAACAAATCATATGGATTTCATTCAGAAATCTGATTACAGTAATCGGTGGAACTGGAAATGAAAAAGTTTTTGTGAAGCTTAAATAAAGAGCAGAGGAGACAAATACATCTAACATGAGAATGATATGAAAGATCAATCCATTGTCGTATGGAATAAAAAAAGTTTAAAAAGTTCAAATACAAATATTTATTACTGTTTGCCGCTATCATGCCAGCTTTGCTGTGTGAATCACTGGAAAATTATATCAGAAACGACGAAACAGACCCATATAGTCACATCTGTTCTCAAAGGTGATGTATTGTTCTACCATTTAAATGTATATTTGAATACCTATCATTTTTAACCATTTTTTGGTCATTTTTCTTTAAGAAAACTTAGGTTGCTGTTAAACGCGTAAAGAAATGTAGTAAACAGAACTAAGTAAAGCTAATGGTAAATTAGTCTGGGCATTAATAGTTTTTACCCAGACATGAATGGAGGTTGTCCGAGAGCTGATAGCCTTCCCAGCAGGAACACACCATCCCTCCATCCGTATTGGTACAATTGTGTTCACAGAATCCATTCTTCATCAGGCACTCATTGAAATCTGAAACATCATGTGAAATATCACGCACACTTTAAAGAGTAAACGCAATTTAATACTAACAGGCATAAATTTTAATTACCGCACATTGTAGCTTACATTTGTACATATCTGTCCTGTTACATCCTTGTTCTTAATCACAAATTATGAGTCGTTTAAATCAAATGGAACTGGAGATTACTCATGGCCAAAAAAAATGAAGAGGACCATGGGCCTTAACAGTCATCTAATTATAAAGACCTTTACATTATAGTGACCCAATGGGCCTGAATTGCTCACCTGTTCTACAGCTTACAAAGAAGACTTTGTCCTTTCATCAAGTCAATTTCTACAAACTTTAGATTCCATTCCTCATTCATACTACACAAATATGTTAACCCAACACCTTCTGCTTGTTGAAAAAGAAAATTTTCATTTCTCAATTTCTCAACACATTTAACTCCGATGACTTTGAATGTGGATCAATGTCAGTGATTTGAATCATTTGGTAGTCCTTCATCCAATTTTGTTACAGAACAGCTATAAATAGCCTGGACCTTTGGTTATTAAAATTTTTTTCAAGAACTTTATGCACTTGACCTCTCTAAACTTAAAAGTGGGTCAAGGTCATTCATACCAGCATGCTCCAGGAGCATTATCAGCACCATTGGACTTTTAGTTACCAAGTATTGAGAGGAAGTCATTTAAAGATTCATTTTAAAAAATTTGGTAGCCCTTTATCTCAGCATGCTACAGGCACAATATCATGAAGAGGTTGTTCAAAGATTTTAATTTGTTTATCCCCTGTGACCTGCAAAGTGGTTAAAAGTCATTTATTTGAACAAACTTGGAAGCCCTTCAATTCATTATGCATGCTACAAAACTGATATCAATACCCATGGTCTTTTGCTTATAAACATTTGACCTCTGTGACTTTGGAAGTGTTTCAAGGTCATTCACTTGAGTGAACATTGTAGCCACTCATCTAAGCATGTTGCAGGCTCAATATCAGCACCAAGTGCCTTTCGATTATTGTTACCCTGAATGTGGTTAAAGTTATTCATTTGAATGCATTTGATGGCCCTTTATTCCAGCGTGTTACCGGCCTAATATCAGTACCCTGTATCCTTTGGTTATTGAGAAGAAGCGACTTGAATGAAATTTTACACAATGCGCATAGAGGCTAGACTGGAAAATTCCCGGTACAACTGGCCTTTAGGTAAAGCCAAGACAGGAACTTCGCCTACAAATGTTGCCTTTAAGTATTTCTGAGACTGGAATATTACCTGCACAACTTGCCCTCTGATAAAGCCTGAAAGCTTACCTATACAGCTGCCATCAAACTGTTTCTCGTAGCCGAAATCACAGTCACAGACATACCCTCCGAAAGTGTTACGACAGGCAGCATTAGGCGGACAGGAGAATGTGTTAGTGACACACTCATCTACGTCTGTTAACACATAAATGTACCTGTACAGACCACATTATGGCATACCTGAATGCTAAGGGTTCAACGATAAACTAGTTTAATTTCAGTTTACGATTGTACAGACAAGTTAAAACTTTGCTCTATAACTTTCAATGAAAACCAAGTTACGGCTATTGTTGTTTAGAGAAAAAGCAAGTTTGTGTTTACTTAAACAGCAAGTTATAACCGTATTTAAATAAAAGTAAAATTGAAATTCTATTCCTTTGGTTTAGTATATGGTGTATTTATTCTTGTGGTGTCATACCTGTGGGTAATGGTCCTATGGGTCCTGTGGCTCCCACTGGTCCTACAACACCTTGGACTCCCTGGGGACCTGTGGACCCGATTTCGCCCGTCATACCTGTGGCACCTGTCCTCCCCGGAATTCCTGATTGGTTCATATGACATGTATACAAATTCAAACAAAATTGTTATAATAAACTATGGCATACCAGGATGACTGAGTGACAGTCTAGTTAAGTGTTGGAACCATCAAAAGGTCGGGAGTTCCAATAAACAATCACAAATCTGTTCGTTTTTGTTGGGTTCTTGTTTTCACCATTTATCGCTATACTGAGAGAAAGAGAAACAAAGGGAAGTAACTCTGGGAGATCAGAATGGTTTTGACCACATCTAGTTTTCAAACACGATTTAGTAAAGAGCTGCAATAAAAGAAACAGATATTGGTACTTTAATCTAGTGGTAGCTACATAATATTTGCATTAAAGAACAAACTAACATGCAAATACACTTATTAAAGCCAAACATCTCTTTAGTGTAAAAAAATCTTGTTTTTACGTTAATGAATATGTGAATGTTTCTATTTTAAGTATATTTAGAAGTATGAACTGTTTTGATAAACATGACAATCTGAGTGTTCTAATAAATCCCCCAGCAAGACTAACAAGCTTGAGCAAAAACTTACGTATGTCCATCTCGACTTTAAAAGAAGGGACGATGAAGAAACTGGTAAAGATCAGGTCCACAACACTATTGACAACTGGTGTGACGGCATGATTGGCCGAAAACCCAAACTTCATTCCAGAAAAGGGACTCGCATAGTCAAACGGGATACCTCCAGGAGATTGTTCAAATGTCAGACCTATGTATGATCCTTGTGGTACGTAAAAGTAGTCAGGAACAATCTGAAAGACAAAACATTGTAATCTATAACAGGTATATAAAGTGAGTATATGTAGTTTTTAACATTTTGCAGTTATTATTGAAATGTGTCAAGTGTTGATATACATGTATATTCTGGCATGACACTTGTAAAGACGAGGAATAACTGATAGCATGTGACTGAAACAGCCAAAGAATCGTTATTCCCCATGAAAACCTCTTTTAAAGACATATAACTGACAAATCCCTTTCACACATCTCTATGCGATACTATTGTAAACAACAATAACAACAGAACACCCCTCATAATTTATAGCCGATCTGACGTAGTTGACAGTTCGGTTTGTATAAAAGTAGAGGTGAGGTTCCCACTCTGTTTAGAAGGAATCATTACAAAATCTAAAGTTGTGATAACTTGCTGTTGTGCAGATAATACCATCTCAACAGTCTTTAACAATGCTTGATAGCTGTGATCTCTTTGACAGAAATGGAAGCGAAAGAGCAAAAACAAAAACAGATAACTTTCAAATGAATTCATTAATCACCTCTTTTACCTAAAACAAGTCAAATGGCTTTAGATTTTTCCTGAATGACATGTTCTAAGGATTTAGTGCCACAGCAGGAGAGCCGTAAATGTATCCAGAGACCCTTCTATCTTAAATATATGTCAACCATAAAGTTAAAATATCCTGACCTTAAGAACAGTTTGAATGTATTGAAAAATGTACAGTTTAACTTATATTCATGTTGTCCGCTTCTGTGAGACTGATTTACATGAAATTCCATGTCCCTTTGTCTCTGTCTCCGTGTAATTTTGTAACTTTTCGTCTTGTCAATATATATTTTGTCAAACTTAATAGGGAGAGGGCTTAACATCAGTTGGAAAACTTGTGCCCAATCACATTGTAATTGTTACAATAAAATATGTTTAAATCAAAATTCAGAATGAACAGGAAGTCCTATGGGCCTAAACGGTAAAAATGGTACATAGTAGTACTTAATCTGTAGTGATAATGGGAACAAATGTTTCAAAAAGTTTTGAATTTTAGCAGCAACTCTGAAAAAGATATCAACACAAACTAACCCGACCAATAGCAACAGTAGGTCAGGCTATCTCTCAAACATTTCAGGCAAGTTTGAGCTGGACCCCACTGGTAAAGCTTAACAATATCAAAGCTGTTGAATGTAGTGTTTATTGTAGGATATCTGGAAGTGACAAATTGGAGCTATCTTCTCACCGATATATTTTGTTGTCCATTGGCTAAGGTAATGCGATGGCTATATAGCAGTCTAAATTGCACTGATGTGATTTTCTCCCAGATCCCAAAATATACAAAATCAGTTGGTCCAAGATTGGCGTCCGCAGCATAGGTATGAAGCTGACTGATGGTACCCGAGGGTAGGGCTGTCATCAGATCGATGTAGGTCTTCTTCTGGAATCCATTCACATTCCTCGGGATGACGTCATTTCCATAAAATTCAATGTAGCTGTAGCTATTAGTAACCAGTAACGTGTCTAACAGCACAGACATCCATAGTAGTAAAGCAAACCCATGGTTCTGAAATTAAACAATAGGGCCTATAGCATGTTTCACTCCTATCAGTATTACCAGTTTTCTCGCAGAACAATTTGGTAGCTATTTAGCACCAACCAAAGTTGGCATTCCCTAACCTGAGTTGTCGTTTCTTGAAAATCTCTACTCTGTGTTGTCGTTTCATTATATAATGATATTGATAGGCTTTAGCACCAACTCTAACCTAAGTTGTCGTTTCTTGGAAATCCCTACCCAGTGTTGTAATTCATTATATAAACAGAGATTGATAAGTTTTAGCACCAACTCTAACCTAAGTTGTTGTTTCTTGTCAATCCCTACCCAGTGTTGTCGTTCATTATATAACTGAGATTGATAGGTTTAGCACCAACCCTAACCTAAGTTGTTGTTTCTTGTCAATCCCTACCCAGTGTTGTCGTTCATTATATAACTGAGATTGATAGGTTTAGCACCAACCCTAACCTAAGTTGTTGTTTTTTGTAAATCCCTACCAAGTGTTGTCGTTCATTATATAAAAGAGATTGATAGTTGTTGTTTCTTAACAATCCCTACCCTGTGTTGTTGTTAATTTTACATGTAATATAAGTCAGGCAGTGCCTGGATAGTGCAAAGCTTATATATTACAATGACATTCTCTAAAAGTACTTAGAAAAATAAAACACCCAGAAATGCTGATAACTGGTTAGTACTTCTAGAAATTGAAGACTTTGTCACGCTTCAGTGAATTATTGATCATTTTGTTGTGTGTGATCATGTGACATTATCGTATTGGTTTGCATGATAAACCAGGTACATGGAAAGGAAATAAAGAAAGATTAATTCCGGCCTATTTCATTGGTGTAAAACCATATTCAAGTTAAGTGAAAATTAAAAGTAAGTCAAATGAATTCCGAAAAGTGAGAGGTCTTTCTTCATGATATGAATTTTCAGTGCGGACAAAAAAGTTTACACTTCTTGGAATTGATTTTCATGTAGATTTGCATAAGATTCCTAACATCAATTTTGACAAAAAAAACTTATTAAGTTTAAAGCTATTATTAAAAATTGGAATAAGAGAAATCTTAACCCAATAGTGAGAATTAGTATAATTAAATCATTATTAATATCACATTTAAATCACCTTTTCATTTCTTTACCATGCGAAGATATGAATTTCATGAAATAGCTTAATACAATTATTTTTAATCTCTTAAGGAATGGTAAAACTGATAGAATTAAAAGAGATGCAATAATTAAAAACTATTTAGAGGGTGGGCTTAAAATAGTCAATCTGATTTCTTTTATAGAATCTTTAAAAATAGTTTGGATACGAAGGATTTTTAGATCAGAAGGGAAATGGTTAGAAATCTAAAAATCTCAGGTAGATCTACAAGTTTGGACTTATTCTGGTAGTGAATACTTCAAACAAATTCTGAGTAATTATAAAAAACATGTTTAGGAAAGATGTTTTCAAAGCTTGGTACAAACTTGGGACACGAGAAAATCAGTACAAAAAAATAAACTTTCTGTACTTAAATCACCTTTATGGTGTAATAAGAATATAATTCTTGGTAAAAAACAGTGTTTTTCGAAAAATGGTTTAAGAAAGGGATTACAATAATTAATGATCTAGTTAAGGGCATTACATCCTGTTCTTTATATTCCTTTGAGGAATTCTGTGATTTGCATGGTAACATATCCAATTATCTCCAATACCATGGCTGTTAAAAAGTATTAGGACTTATCTTAAAAATTATGACATTTTAAACAAACCTCTACCTTAACCAATCATACCGTTAGACCTAGAACTCATTTAGAAAAAGAGAAAGGGATGTCAGGACTTCTATAGCATACTTAGTAGACATAACACCACTATTACTGAGCAAAGTAAATGGGAAACATTCAATTTTAATAATGATATATTGGAAAAAATATTCTCCCTTCCGTTCAGGACAACTAACAATAAAAAATTTCAATGTTTACAGTTTTGTATAAACCATCACATATTAACTACTAACTCTTGTATTTACAAGATAGGTCTTACAAATAATCCTCACCGTACTTTTTTTATGACAGAAAGGGAGACAATTACTCACCTTTTATAGAAATGCAATGAGGTATAAAAGTTACTAACAAGTTTTGAAACACTATTAGAAGATGTTACTATTAACTTTTCTGTAAATAAACAAACAATAACTTAATATATATGATATATGAACAAACAGGTCTTTACAACAGAATAGATGCTGAAATTATTTTACTTATTAAACAATGTATAAAACCAGATGTTTTAATAATTCCCAAAATGTTATGGTATTAGCTAACCAGATCAAGGAATACTTTAAAGTCTAAAAATATATTACTTATGGTAAAGGAGAAGACTATCTTAAAAAATTTAATAATAAATGCAAGAAATCGATGAAACTTGTTGAGCTCGCCTAAATTTTAATAATTTTATTTTTTTTTATTATTATTTTTGTCTTGTACTATACTTCTTATGAAGATAATCTGAAAGTCTGACCACTCACTATCTTCTCGCTTCCACCCCCCCTCTCTCCCTCTCTTTCTCACCGCTTCCCCCTCCCCCTCTCTCTTTCTCCCCGCTTCCCCCCTCCCCCTCTCTCTTTCTCCCTGCTCCCCTCCCTTCCCCTATTTCTCTTTATTCTCTTTCTCTCCCTCTCTCTATCACTCTATCTCTCACCCTATATGTATGTATTTTATTTGTCTTCTTGTGGTACATATGGATAAACAAGTTACTATAGGTGAAAGTGTGTGTGTGTGTGTGTGTGTATGAGCTGTAATAGTTTGATGAGAGGACATATATGTATTGTAGATGATAATAACATGCACTAGAGATACGAGGATGTATGGTAATGAAGGTGATTATAATGACAATGAGGTGAACAGGGATGACAGGCATGTCGTCTGATTATGTCTTTGAAGACGAATTGGTGGATGGATGATGGATGGATGTCTTGTTTTCTACACTTGTATCAAAATCTTTCAAAAATGAAAAAAAAAAATTAAAAAAAAATCCTACATGGTATTTGTATTCCCTTTTTTTATCATTATCTTTATATAATTCCTGTTTTCTTTGTGTGAAGACTTCGTCAAAGATACGACTGAGGAATACTGGCGTCTGCTGAACACTGATAACAAACAATTAGTTACAAAAGTAGATATCTGGATATACAATTGTAGCAAAAATACTATTATACGGAAGTTTATCGCTATTTAATAGCACAATAATTACTTCACATGTCTTCAAAAAAGAGACTGACTCCTGTGGCGTAACAGCTTCTACAATTTGTAAGAATTCATTCTATTAACATTTTTTCGGTACATACCTGTCGAAATGTTGATATCGTCATTATGTTTACTTTGAATACCCACGTCAAAATGGCGCAGGTGCCCGAGCAAAGCTGGTCAGAATTTTACAACCGCATATACCTGTCATGCACGTGTTTTTCGCGCGGATTTCAACATATCATCACGACACTTCCAATGTTATGTAGACTTGTTGAAATGTCTGTTAATACAATATTATGTAAACGTGATTTCTTAACTACTTTGCATATCAAATTTTTTTATTAATACCGGACGTGGCAGACATTTGGGATAGTTCTGCACATTTTACAGACTGCCCTCAACAAGTTAACCATTATGTTGGGTCTTTTCTACTCAGACTTCTCAATTAATCACATGTGCCTTCCAGTGGTGATATGGTTTATGGATCTAGACGAAGGCAAGACATTCACTCTTGAAAGCTGACAACATGATACAATTTATTTACACTTAGCTAATTGCAGATACATGTAATTAAATAGTCGTCTAGTGGCTGATATATATATAGAGAGATTTTAAATTGTAAACTGTACGTTTTCTCCTGTCGGAAAGTTCATGACCTTGTTTTTAGCTTAAACTTAGTACATTGCTTCTAAAATAAGCATGAGGTTGGACACAAGTTATGACAACTTAAGGAAGCCCTCTCAACAGTCAGTTCGACAATGTGACAGCAACAATAGACATATATGTACAATTTTATACGATAGAATGAATTTCGGAATCAGAAGAGTGAAGGAAGAGACATGATGAAAGTGCAGGGAAGTGACAAGAATATCATACAGCAATTCTTATCATGTACAACAGCATATATCGCACAGTAATATATCTGCCTGGCTCCTACTAGCTACATATTCTAATAACTTCCTTTATTCAAATGGTCCATGTAAATGTTCATGCCTTCCTCTAATGTATGTTCCCGCTCCTATTAGGTACCTTTTCAGTGTGCAAGACAGACAAAGAATATACGTGACATCAGTTATGGTACAAAAATTTACTTATGACACGATTTTCTAGAAAAGGTCGCGATACGATTGGGTAGGTTGAATAGAAAGACATTGAATGAAAGGATAAAATGTACCCTTGTTACATGTAGAGTCGCCGGGTGCATGGTTTATTGGTTGTCAACGTTCCATTTAAATTTGTCCAGGACATTATTTATGTACTTTTTAATACAAGTACTTCATTAATTCCTACTGGGCTTGCTATGAAGCACATTTCAGAAATGAAAATAGAATGTGTGCGCTGGAAGTTGAATTTTATACATGACATGATATGATTTGGTAGTTAAATACTTGTGAATAGAAATAAAAAGATACAAAAATAAAACACACACACAATAAAATAAAAAGAACAAAACAAAAACGTTTAGCATAAGAAAAAACAGAAAAAACAAACAAAAACTGCAAAAACAAATACGAAAAACAAAACTAAATTTTGGTGTTTGGATCTCGGCTGAGCGTCGAACCTCATGAACAAAGACTGTCGTCATTTACACATAAAAATATGACGTCACCAATAAACGCTGACGTCATGAAAGGCGGTGCACAAATCTGCTATTTGCAGACGAAAATCAAAAAGAACTTACAGGTAATCAGAAATTGTACAAGTCGTGATACATTTGTTTCAGCATGTTTGTACCACTGACGTGTATATCGTGTATATATCTGTCTAGGAATTTTGATGACATTCGTTCTATGATGAGTACTGTAGAATCCATTTCACTCATTATTATTTCTGGTGTTTAGTGAAACTTTTCTTGTTTGAATGTTCTTAGTAGACATTTACTTCGACACGAGAAGCAGAAATAACTTTGGTATGCTCACATCATAGCTTCATTTCCTGTCAATGAGAGATTCCGATTAAAAACGTGAGCAGAAGGAATTGATCGTCGCCATCCCTCTAGACTTCGGAGGGTCCCAGTTTCGAACCCCGTCGTAGCCATGCATTGATCCGCTCTTGTTGCAAAATCGTGCATTTGGCCACAGAAATCGGACTTCAGTATGTGAAATGTAGGAACGTATTACTTGACACTCGAGCCATGTGATACCGTGTAGTAATTATCTACAATACACGTCCGGTTCATGTGATGTGACAAACCTTGAATAAGCCTTTGCATGACTGGCATGAGTCATCGCCTGTGACTGGCTACAGGCGGTGTTGTTGTTTATCAAAACTTAATTGTGTTTGTCAGTAGTGTGTTCAGGCCATGTTTGGCTCATTGCTAACCTCAAGTTAAATTTGGCACTGTAATCTTATCATCCAGTCACGCTTGTAACTGTCTGCAAGATGTTTTGTATCGCATATATCATATTTAAGTCTTTGCAAGAATTGCTGATGATGAAAGTTGGCAGAGATCATTATTATACTGTAATGTCTGGGCCATGTATAATATTTTGCATTAAGGCCTCTTATCTGGGAATCTGCAACACTTTTGCTTGTAAACAGTTCTGGTTTGAAAGTTATGCACCATGCAGTAAGTTACTTTGAAAGGCTAAGGGTAGAACCATATCAACAAATTTGTCAAAATGAGTTCAAATCTGGCACATGAAGCCTTTTAAAGTCTTTTGAAAAAAATAGAATGATAATATTACAAGCATGCTTAATTTTAAAAATTATCTAGCATCTCAATAATCTAAAGATAATTAATTTATTTAGACTTCTGGTGTATACACTCAGCATCAAAGAGTTGAAATAAGAGTAATTAGACAGAGATCAAGGTTCATGGTTCTTGACGTCCTTGTAAGCATACAAGGTTTTTTATTGACACATCTTGATACTTCTTCATTTGGACTTCGTGGTGTAACACTGGGATTGGTAAAAAATAATTTGTATGTACTTAAAAATGGATAAAAGGCTGTTTGGGTATTTAGACCAATGTTTATTTAGTCTTGATTTAAAACAGGTAAGGAAAGGTGTCTCAAGTACATTGTTTGGTAGAGAATCCCATGTGTTTACAACTCTATTTCAGAATGCATGACCACTGATATCAGTCCTAAATCTGTTTTTGTATATATTTTTTCATCATTTCTCCATGTGTTTTGATTATGCAGTGCAGACAAAACCCACTGGTTTATTAGATCTATAGTGTTGAAATTTTTATAAGCTTCTGTCATGTTAGTCCATAATCTTTTAAACTCAAGTGTTGGTAGACCTAATTTCTATTCATTGAGGGTGCGAGGGATCTTGTTCTGATGGAACTAACTTGGTTGCACATCTGAGAACTTTCTTTCAAACAAACTTGCCTTTTTGGAGCATTGGTGACTGTTCAGTGGTAGTAGTTTCAAAGAATGGGTGCACATGTGATTTATAAAATGATAAAAACTTACAGCTGAATGTTTTAATTATGCAAATGATTAATGAAAAGCCTACATAAAAAGTTTAGTCATGACTTTTTTCAAAGAGCAGTTTATCCATGACATTTTATCCCTTTAAGATGATGCTACCACTCCAACTTGTAAATGGAGGATGTGGGTTTGATTTGATTTTTAACATCCTATTAAAAACTGTACGGTCATATAAGGATGACCTACGTTGTATGTGAGGTGAGTGCAAATTGGGTATGAGGTATCCTTTGGTGAAGTTATCGCAGTGTTCTAAGGAAAATGTTAATCTCTTGAGACAGAGCAAGAGCTGAGGGTCCTGGAACCCAAAGATGGAAATGCAAAAGATTGAAAATCCCCTTCCTTATATACTGATAAGGAAACTTTAACCAAATTAGCAACCTTGATGAAGTGACTTAATGTTAAATAAAGTGGAGGTGTGGTCTTCTGGTAGTGAAAGGTCAATGTCCACTTGGGAAAAGTCGGATAATAATGTTAACATTTCAATCCAAATAACTTTGAATTATCTTCGGTCAGGAAATGAAATGTCACAATAAAAATACTGCAGTTTGATTTCTGAGAAGTGGAACCCAAAACAGGGTTTTTAAGGTTTGTAATATTACTATTACTTAATAATTAATCTTGACTAATTTTCAGAGAGAAAAAAAAAATGTGTTAAGATTAAAAAGAAAATAAAAAATTGAAAAGAAAATTAAAGATCAAGAGGCCCAAAATCTTGATATTTAACTGTATGTTTAGACAGAAATACCAGATGTCAAATAAGTTGAACATAACCATACAAAGAAACTTTTTCGAAATAATTCATTTGCAAGAGGACACAGGTGTGATTAAGAGCTATCAACAGTGTAATAGCCACGCATATAAAAGCTGCCCTCATACTCATGTTCATTGCTGTTGGATGAAAAACAGATGGCAGGTTATTAAGGCTTGCTGGACCTCTTGTTTTATAAAGGATGCTGCTGATATATAATAGGTATATGATTGAATATGATTAAATACAGGTGGTCAAGATTTTTTTATGAATTTGTTATGTGAGTTTTGAAGGTGCAATATGTTTTGAGACAGAAGAATTACGCACATACACATGTACACAGGTTTCTCAGTTCAGTCTCATTACATTATATTTCAATTTCTGCTCAAGTTCGCTTGATTCAAATGTTCATAAATTTGATCATATTAAATTTGATTTGAGCATATGAATACATCCTTTACAGATTCTGTAAGGAAAGAGAACTCTTATACATGTATGCTGCTAAACTTTAAATAAAGATTTGCAGAACATAAATTTATAAAGATAATGGTGTAAAATAACAATTGTAAAATAGATCAAAATGTGATGTGGTAATTTTTATCAGAACGGATTTGTTTTTCACATTTTGATATCTCAATAAGGCGTACAATGCTAGATAAAAGATATCCTAATCTGGGCTGTGAATAGAACTTTGCGTCTCCGATAGAAAAGACCAAGGAAATGGTAACTTCATTCGGTTCGATGCTAATTCGGATGGACCTAGGATCGAGCCCAAGTCTGACTATGCATTTCCCCGCTTCTGTTACAGGTGTAAACTACACTGGAACATCATTGTAGTGGTATTTTGTGGAAATTGCGCCAAATGGTCGACTTTCTGGTTGACAATATCTTCATGAGCTGAGGTGGTAAGATCAAATCAGATAGGTCCATAAAT